TATTGATACATGCAACAAATTTGATGAATCTGAATTTAAGTGAAAGAATCTAGTCTTGAAAGGTTAGATTCCATTTATGTAACAGTATTGAAAGTACAAAATTATCGTGATAGAAAACAAATTAGTGGTCACCAGGAGTTAGGGATGAGGAGACTTTTTAGGGAGAAGGCACTGTTCTGTATCTGAGGGTGGCAATGGTTACTTGTGCTTACATTCATAGAGTAAATTGACTGTAGGATAAATAAAATGTTTTTAGAAAGCTGATTCTGGTTTGAGTTCCTTGGCACAGAAGCAAGATTGGATTCCTCTGACAGAGAGAACTCTTTAATTGGGGTGGGAGAAGGGGTCACTTTAAAGTGTGAGTTGTTACAGAGTTGAGACCTTACCAACCATAGCCCAGATCCTCCAAAACGTGTAGACAAAAATAAGAAAGCAGTTAAAATATTCTTAAGAATAAGACCCTTCAGATATAGAAGCAAAGAAAATGAGGGAGTGAGAGCGAGAGCTAGTTGTAGACCAGGGGACCCCAGGAGGAAGGCCAGACACTCAGAAATTCTTTGTTGGGATCTGCAAGGGAACTTGGTTGTAATCTGTTTGAGTGGTTTGCTGAGATAGTTTATTTTCATCACCCCAAAGCTGTACCCCTCAGTCTGGGTTGAAAGGTACTTTGGAGGAAAATTGCCAGGGGAGAGCAGAGTGTAATAGCAGGAGGCAAGATGTGCACTAGCGTGAGAGTTCAGTGGGCAACAGAAAGCAGGGTGGGGTGAATGCGAGGACTTAGAATCCACAGAATAGCAGGGGAAAGTGCTGGATTTCCCACAGTATGGCTCTGTCTTCTGTGTTCTATTGATATTATTAAAGAAAAGTGTAATCTTTAGAGTAGACAATTTGGGGAAACTCAGAAAGGAAACATCTAAGTGAGGAAAGTAATCCCTTTTGTCAAGCCAGCTGTTGAAATTTAATTTATTTTGTTAGAGTTTTTTTATTAAAAATATGTTTTTATTGATTTCAGAGAAAAGGAAAGGGAGAGATAGAAACATCAATGATGAGATGGAATTATCTATCTGCTGTCTCCTGCATGCTCCCTACTGGGGATCGAGCCCACAACCCCTGACTGTGAATCAAACTGTGACCTCCTGGCTCATGAGTTGACACTCAACGGCTGAGCCACAACAGCTGGGCTGTTACAGTTTTATTAATTAAAAAATTTAATACTAAATATTGATCATTGATTTTGTTTATCCTTGTATACTTTCCACCGAAATGCTCACATTGATATTTGCAAACTATTGGCTATATATTCTTATCTGAATAGTTGATAGGGGGAAAGAGTCAATTTCCCATTATCCATAATTAGACTATTCAATTCATACTCTCATCAATTTAAAATATGCTTAGTCCATTTTCAGGAGGGAAGATGATATAGCCTAGTGGGCAAATGGGTTTTGAAGTCAGAGACCTGGATCCATTCCTAGCACATTAGTCATGAACCTTGGCCAAGTTACATACTGTTTCTGAGCTTATAGAGCCCCTGCCTCACAAGGTTGTTGCAAGGATTAAGTAAATATTGGCATCATCCATCTACCCTCTAGCCTATATTGTCCTTCTCTATTACCACACTTTAGTTTACTGCTAATTTGAAAATACATTAAAAATGATGGTTCAAAAGCGAAATAGAAATAATGCTAATAATACAAGTCTGATTAAACTGCTGATCTGCTCTATGCAGTATTTCACATTTGTCACTCTTCTGCTCTGTTACCTTGGCTCAGCCAGAGTCGATAACCTGGCTAAAGACTTCCAAAGACTAAAATGTTGCTTTGAGAGGACTAGAGAGAAAATCTGCTTTTATTCTCAAAAATTGCTAGATATTTCTTGTGTGTTTAATGTGTGGGTTGAAGCTCTGTCATGATCTGCAAAATATAGTGTATAGTTTTGACATAATGAATCAGAAGACACTGCATGTGAAAATGTACATCTCAGCCTGAATGTTCCTAACTGGGGCAGAGGTGTAATCAGTGAGAGGTTGAATGAAGCATTCAGTGGCACAATGGCCTGGTTTACGGAGTAGATTGCAGAAGAGGGATTATAATTTCACTGTAACAGATCCCCAGTATGAAATAGATGAGCTCTGGTTTTTGGCTAGGAAAAATAAGTCAAACATAGTACAACCAGTGGTTTAAAATTTTCCACAAAGCTTTGCACTACTGAACAGTTTCTCTGCCTTGGGACTGCAGGTTTTGTTGTGATGGTGGTTTGATGTCTCTTCTGGTGGCTGATTGTGATGATGGAACAGTATTGGTTTGCATATGGCTTGACCATATTGGGAAAAAATGGTACATGAATTTAGACATGCCCTTTTGAGGTTGCTTAGCTTAAGTATGATAAACAAGATCAAGAGGGATGCTATTGATGGATTTTGAGGCAAGGAAATAGATGTTAGATCAGATAGAGTGTCCTGCCAGGCAGAGGAGAAACTTAGTATTGTCATGTTATCTGTTTGCTAATGTCCAGGCAGGAAAGGCTCATGGTTGGCATAGATCAGGTTGTAGGGCAGTCCTCAGTCATGGCCGAGGTATCACCCAGGCCCGGGAGGTCATACAAACTGCCCAAGTCCTGGAACTGTGGTAGGAGGTGGAAATGTGGTTAGAGGAATAGAGTTAGAATCACTTGAGCTACTTCAGTAGGCGTATCTTATATTTTTCCAAGGTAAAGGCAAGACTGTTCTTAGAGCATAGGGCAAGGCTGAGATGAGAGGAAGATTCTACAATAATACCAGAAAGAGGTGAAAGAGGATGGGCAATGGGAACAACAGGAGTTTCAGCATTTTTCAGGAGAGTTTTCTGACATGAGCATATTTTTTTAAAGATTTTTTTTCAAGTAATATATTTATACAAACTATTCCTTCATCAAATAGCAGCTCCCTATTTCATTGTCCTTACCCTTGAGTCTCACTCACAGAAGGTATTACTTTGACATTTAACTTTATATTTCTATATATTTCTAAATAACATGCTTATAATGTAATTTTTAATATTTTTTTCAATGTTGGACATAATCTGGAGTTTTTCTTCTGGGGAAGATTAGCATTCTCTTATATTTTCAACCCAACCTTTCCTCTTCTCTCATCCATGGATGCTTGTTTGTTTTCAAATAGTTGAGTTTTTAAAATCAATTAAGTTTTTACATTATATAATATAAATTATATTTATTTGGTTATGCCTTCTTGTACCATGATTCCTACTTTTTTATTATTATTATTGTTTAAAGTATTACATATGTCTCCTTTTCCCCCCATCGACCCTTCTCCAACCACGCCCACCCCCCAGGACAAGCCCCCACAACCTCAGTGTCCGTGTCCATTGGTTATGGTCATATGCACGCATACAAGTCCTTTGATTGATTTCTTACCCATCCTCCCCTGCCTTTCCTCCGATTTGATGGTCTGTTCCGTGTTTCTCTGTCTCTGTCTGTCTCTGTTTCTCTGTCTGGGTCTATTTTTGTTCACCAGTTTATGTTGTTCATTATATTCCACAAATGAGTGAAATCACCTGACACTTATTTTTCTCCAACTAGCTTATTTCTCTTAGCATAATGCTCTCCAGGTCCATTTATGCTGTTGCAAATGGTAAAAGTTCCTTCTTTTTTTTTTATAGTGGCATAATATTCCATTATGTAGATGTACCACAGTTTTTAATCCACTCATCTGCACGCAGACTGTTTCCAAATCTTAGCTATTGTAAATTGTGCTGCTATGAACATAGGGGTGCATGTATCCTTTCTTGTTGATGTTTCTGATTTCTCCATGATTGTTTTTGCTTCCTGTAAAACATTTAGTGTTTTCTGGAATTGACCCCCCCTCCCCCCCCAGCATAGTAATGTCTATATTGTCTGACAGAATTGTAAAACTTAATATAAAACTCATAAGATTGTGTTTCCTTTTTCACCTTGCGAGATATTCTCCAACTCTGCCTCATAGGTATGCTACATAGCTATCTTGGAAATGATCTTTACCTCGCCTGTGTAAAATTCTTTTTTTTTTTTTAAGTTGATTTATTGAGGTGACATTGGTTTGCAAACCATACAGATTTCAAGTGTACAACTCAATAAAACACCATCTGCACACTGCATGGTGCGCCCACTGCCCCAGCAAGGTCTCTTTCTGTCCCCTTTCCCCCTTCTTTGTCCACCTCCACCTAGCCCCCACCCTCCTTTCCCTGTGGCTGGCACCACACTGTTGTCTGTGTCTATTATATCCTAGAGGTCCGGTGCACGAAATTCTTGAATGGGGAGTGGGGAGAGTCCCTCAGCCTGGCCTGCACCCTCTCCAATCCGGAACCCCTCGGGGGATGTCCGATTGCCTCTCACAATCCAGGACTGCTAGCTCCTAACTGCTCGCCCGCCTGCCTGCCTGATGGCCCTAACCACCTCTGCCTGCCTGCCTGATGGCCCCTAATCACCTCTGCCTGCCTGCCTTATCATCCCTAAGTGCTCCCCTACCAGCCTGATTGCCTCTAACTGTTCCCTTGCTGGCCTGATTGTCCCTAACTGCCTCTGCCTGCCTTGCCCCACACCTAGGACCCAGGATTCTCAGGCCAGTCACAGGCACTCGGAACCTGGGCTTTCCTCCCTCTGGCCGGCTGCAGGGGACCGTGGAGGGTCTGCTTCGCCTGGGCCATAGCCGCAGGTGCTGGTGTCTGGGATCATGGGGCAGGCAGCTTGTCTCTCTCCCGGGCCTCAGCCTGGCTGGTCCCCAATCCTCTCTCCCCAGTGGTGAGTGTCTGAGCCATTAGGGAGTGACCGCAAGATGCCATTTACATATTAGCTCTTTATTATATAGCTAATTTCCCCCTCTAATCCATTTATCTTTCATCCTGTGCCCTCTCCCCTCTGACAGCTATCAGTCTGTTCCATGTATCCATGCCTATATTTCTATTTTTTAAAACCTAATTCCTGTTTCTGGGCTATACATTTTTCTCCTTTGGTTTGGTCTCTTTCAGAGCAAATTGGAGCGTTGGCAGATCAGCATATTGTCCATGTGGCATGTGGCGAGTCCCACAGCCTGGCCCTCAGTGACCGGGGCCAGCTGTTTTCTTGGGGTGCAGGGAGTGATGGTCAGCTGGGACTCATGACTACTGAGGACTCAGTGGCAGTGCCCAGGTAAGAACGTCATGGAAAAGAACCTGAGTTTTCAAATGTCAATTATTGTGAATAGTATTTCCCGAGTTGCTTTGTTAGACATCTTGTTTTAGTTTCTGCTTTCTTCATTTAATTGCTTCTCCCTCGTGCCACTGCTGTACCTTATATTGTTATAGAACTTGTCATAAAAATTGTAATTATTTACAGAAGTGTGTCTCTCAGGTTAAAAAACGTGAGTAGCTGGGAATGTACTCTATTTATTCTAGTAGCCTAATTGCTAACAGTGCTTGGAACTCGATACACTTTTTGAATTTAAAAAAAGCATCTTTTCAAGTAACCTTTCACATAATATTGTGAATCAAATACTCAATTAAGCACTTTAAGCTAGAGTCACAAGGCTGACCTGTTAGTCTAATAATAGGCCAAATTACCCAAGCATTAAGAACAGCTAAAATACTAAATATGCATAAGCTGTTTAATACAGTAATATTAATACAGTGGTTTTGAGTCTCTTAAATATTTACTTCTAAATCTTAGATGATTTAGCTAAATATCTAACAGATGTTTCACCACTAAAAAATAATACAAAATATTGAAGTTACTTTCAAGTGGACTTTTTGTGGGTGATATGCTGGCTTGTTAAGGGTTTTTTTTTTTTAAAAATATGTTTTTATTGACTTTAGAGAGAGAGAAAAGGAGAGGGAGAAAGAGTTAGAAACATCAATGCATCAACAATCATCGGCTGCCTTCTGCTAGGGATTGAGCCTGCAACCTGGGCATGTGTCCTCACTGGGAATTAAACTAGCGACCTCTTGGTACATGGGTCGAAGCTCAACCACTGAGCCACACCGGCCGGGCTGTTGAGGGTTCTTAATGATCAAAGAGGCCACCAGTTTATGTCCACCATTTAATTCCGGTTCCTTTATACAAATGTACACATACCCCTTTTGGAGTACTTGTCAGGTTCTTTGTAATTATTTATTCAATGACTATTTCTAGTACAAAGCTGGGAGCTCTTGATGGCAGGAGACCTGGAGTGTCACTTTAGCACCACCTTTACTTTTTTTTTTTTTTTTTTTTTAAATATATTTTATTGATTTTTTTTTCAGAGAGGAAGGGAGAGGGATAGAGAGTTAGAAACATTGATGAGAGAGAATCATCTATCAGCTGCCTCTTGCACACCCCCCATTGGGGATGTGCCCGCAACCAAAGTACATGCCCTTCACCGGAATCGAACCCGGGACTTTTCAGTCTGCAGTGGGGGGTGTGCAACGCTCTACCCACTAAGCCAAACCGGTTTCGGCAAGCACCACTTTTCTCACGGGTGCCTCGCACATCCATTGCTCAGCACAAAACTCTTTAATAAATGGCCTCTCTTCGGATCTTGCCCAGTTATTGCCCCCTTTAAAGGACAACATATTCCTTTTTTCTTCTTGCCCCTTTTAGATTTTTGTCTTTTTAATCAAAAGCTGTTTTAAGGAAAAGAGGAACATGGAGGTAAGAATGATTTGATTCACTTCCTGATTTAGAATAGGTAATGTCACAGATTCATTACTTCCAAAAATTAATTTAATTTTGGAGGAAGAGGGAGAGTGATATAAGAAAAAAAGGGTGCTATATTTTAATGAAGTTGTGGAAAAGATAACATTAATAATAAAAGTATTTTATTTGTTGATGATAAAGAATCAAAGGCTTTATAACTCAATTAAAATAAATTTATTAATAACAGTATTGTGGAAAGTAACATAGCTTTGAAGTCAAATAGCCTCAGATACTAATGCTGGCTCTATTATTTATTAGGGGAATGACCTTGGCAAATCAACTTTCCTAAGCTTCAATTTCTTGGTTTAAAAATGTAGTTATGTATTGTGAACCTACAGATTTATTAGGAGGATAGATGAGATGAGTAGATAAAACACAATAGCCCGACCAGCATTGCTTAGTGGTTGAGTGTTGACCTGTGAACCAGGAGGTCATGGTTCGATTCCCAGTCAGGACATATGCCCGGCTTGTGGGCTCGATTTCCTGTGGGTGGTGTGCAGGAGACAGCCAATCAATATTCTTTCTTACCATTGACGTTTCTCTCTCTCTCTCTCTCTCTCTCTCTCTCTCTCTCTCTCTCTCTCTCTCTCTCTCTCTTTATATATGTCCTCTGCTCTTTAGCTCAAGGATATAATTTCCCTATTTATTTTTGTCCTTTGATCTGCTTCCCTTCTGTAACTATGCTTGTGACAAAGGAAATGTTGATCCATAAAGGAAGAATTGTGGAGAATTTGCATGGAAACTGGTCAGAAAAGGGACTATTGCTGTATAAATTTCTGAAACATTGGTCTCCTAGTCAGTAACTAATGCTCCAGTTTTTAAAAAAATAGTGGAGTTATAACAACTATTGACACATGCAGCAATTTAGATGAGTGTCCAGGGAATTATTCTGAGTGGAAGAAAAACCAATCCCAGAGGGTTACCCAGTGTATGATTCTATTTACGTAATATTCTTGGAATGACTAAATTTTAGAGATGGAGGATAGATTAGTGGTTGCCAGGATCTAGGAATGGGGGAGGGACTTTTATAAGTACATCATCAGAGAATCCTTGTGGTGTTGGGACTGTTCAGTATTTTGACTATGGTGGTGGATACATGAACATACACAGGTGATAAAATTAATACACCCTCAGAAATGAGTACAAATAAAACTGGGGCAATTTGAATAAGATTGGTCGATTGTATTAATCCCAATATTCTGATAATGACAGTTTTGTAAAATGCCACCATTGGGGAAAGCTAGACAAGTATATAAGGGATCTCTCTATTATTATCACTGCATGTGAATCTACAATTAACTCAGTATAAAAAATAGTTGGGTACTATTTGCTACTAAATGCATATGTGAACTCTATTTTAACTTCTTTATATCTGAAAAAAATAAAACATTAACAAAATTGATAGCTACCAAACTAATATCCGCCCCTATCTATTTCCTAAAAGACCCCACTCCCAAAGGCATGTCCATCTGACTTTTATTTCTATGACATCACTTAATGAAGAGGAGTGTGGCAACTTGTGAACATTAAAATAGAGAGCAGGAGATATTCCCAGGCTTCCCAACTCTCTTGGCAGTGCAAGGTACCTTACATGGTTTTGTTTTTTCCCCCATTTAATTCTTACCCCTGTAAAACAGGTACTGTTCTTATCTGTCACAAGCAAGCAGAGGAATGTGATTTGAAAAGTAACCATATGAAATCAGGGTTTTGGAGGCATTGTCCTTATTATTTTTTAAAAATTGTGGTAAAAAACACACACACAACATAAAATTTCCCGTCTTCACCACTTTTAATGTACTGTAGTTCCGTAGTGTTAAGTATATTCACATGTGGCCAATCTGCAGAACTTTATCTTGCAAAAATTAAGCTCTGTACTCATTCAACAACAATTCCCCATTTCTCCTCCCCTCTGGCAACCACCATTTTTGTATCTATGAACATGGCTGCATAAGGTGCCTCATAAGTGGAATCACATTATACAGTATTTGTCTTTTTGTGACTGGCTTATTATGTAAGTTAGCATATGTCTTCAAGTTTCATCCATGTTGTAGCATGTGTCAAGAATTTTTTTTTCTTTTTAAGGCTGGTTAATATTCCATTTATATGCCATATTTTGTTTATTCATTCATCTGTTTATGGACACTTGAGTTGCTTCTACCTTTTTTGGCCATTGTAAAAATGTTACTGTGAGCATGGGTGTACAAACATCTCTTTGGGACCCTGCTTTAGATTCTTTTGGCTATTTACTCACAAGTGGGATTGCTGGATCATGGCATTGCCCTCATTTTGAAAGTCATTCAGACACTAACCATATTTCTTAGGGAATTCGCTTTGTAGCTTTACTCCATTTTGTAGTCCCTGAATTGGAGGTGGCAGGTGGGAATTAACAGAGGGTGTGGTAATGGGTTTATGTGCAGGAGGTTTTTTGTTTGTTTGTTTGTTTTGTGTGTGTGTGTGTGTGTGTGTGTGTGTGTGTGTTGAGGCAGGAGATAAGTGAAAGACCTAATAGAATTATATCATGCAAGATCATATATTTGATTTTTAAAAGTCTTTTAGGAAAGATGATGTTATTTATTAAAGCTATTTTTTTTTTAAGGTGGGAATATTGTTTGTGGATGTCCTTCTTAAAAATGAAGTCTTTTCTGTTATAGGTTAATACAAAAGCTGAACCAGCAGACAATCTTACAAGTTTCCTGTGGCAACTGGCATTGCTTGGCTCTTGCAGCTGGTAATGTAACATTGAAATATATGCTCATGTTAAGTTACATTTGCGACCAATTCTCCTTGCATTTTGTGTGATGGTATCTAACTGGGACCCTTTAATCAGCTGGTTAGTGTTTATGTGTTCCTGTTGGACGGTGGCCGTTCTCAGGCACCTTACTTTTCCCAGGTGAGAATGATGAAAAGGGCGGTCATCACAGCTGCCCCAGGTCTCTCCAGGGGAAGAGGAGCAGCAGACAGGATTGTACCCAAGTGTTCTTGAGCAAATGAGCCTACAGAACTTGGGTTTTTCTTAGCTTCGCCTCACTCTCAAGCTCTGTTCCACTATTGGGTACCCCAATAAATGAAGAAGAAAAAGTTAGAGAAACCTAAGCCAGCAAATAATATTGTATTCTCTGTTAGAATAAATTTGAAGGAAGTCTACAGTAACATGTCCTGTTCTGATACTCTGTGGTGGAATTCAGTTCATGCCGAACCTCTCGGAATCCTGGGTCTCGTGGTCTTGGGGTGATCAGATGTAGTTCATCTTGCTTAGTGGTTTTAAGCCTGGTAATTGGCCTATTCAAAACTGAATTGTCTTAAACATTTGATAATTTATTTGCATAAATGTTAATAGCCTTTGAAGAATGAGTGGGAGTTTTGATTAGGACAGCCTGACAGCTTGAAGTGACTCTACTCCCTTGCTCTTGGGCAGGTTTGATATATGTATGGGATCAACTAACAAATGATTCTACTGTGCAACTATATTGTTCTAATGAGATTGTTTTTGTTTTTTGTTTTTTTTGTGGATGGAACTTGTATCATTTCTGGTAATACTAGTTATCCTGTTCTTATTTCAGATGGTCAGTTCTTCACCTGGGGAAAGAATAGCCATGGGCAACTGGGCCTGGGGAAGGAGTTTCCCTCCCAGGCCACCCCGCAGAGGGTGCGGTCCCTGGAGGGGATCCCGCTGGCTCAGGTGGCTGCAGGAGGGGCCCACAGCTTTGCCCTGTCTCTCTCAGGAGCCGTTTTTGGCTGGGGGATGAATAATGCAGGGCAACTAGGGCTCAGTGATGAAGAAGGTAGGTAAACTCTTTATACACACCTCTTTGCTCAAAAACACAATTGTTTAACACATGTGTCCTGGGGATCTACAGTGTGCTGGACCCATGTTAGGTACTAAGGGTAGTGAACAAAGCAGATAAGACTTTGGCTTAGTGAAAATTACATGTACTGGGCGGGCACAAACCAGTAAGTATATAGCATGTCAGGGATGTGAGAGGGAAATGTCCTGTTTTACTTTGGTGGTCAGGGAGGGCGTCTCTGGTGAGAGGATGTTGGAGCAGAGCCCTGTAGGAAGTCAGTAAGAAAAGTGGCATATGGCCTCTCTGGGCAAGGAATGCTCCTGTGGAAGGGAACAGGATGAGCAAAGGCTGTGATGCAGGAAGATACGTGGTGAGCTCCAAGAGAGTGAGCTGGGGGAAGAATAGCAGAGCTGGAGGTCAGATGGACAGTGTAGGTCAGTCATGTAGGGCCTGACAGGGCAGGTTCGGGATTTTGGCTTCTCTCAGTGAGGGTTTTGAGGAGGAGTGATTTGTCTTGACTCTGGCTATCGTGGCCCCCTGGGGAAAGCTGGAAGAGCAGTATGGAGGTAGTGGGAGAAAAGTCAGATTTTGTATCGACTTTGAAGATGGGACCAGTTGGATGTGTGGCTTTAAATAAAGAAAGGAAAGGTTGGAAGGATAAAGTTACCATTTATGAAAAGAGGAAACCTTTGTGTGTGGTGGGGATGGGTAGGAGGTGGGCAGGCAGAGTTGGGGAGTGTGGGGAAACTGTGAATTGCATTTTAGATATATTAAACATGAGATGCCTTTGGACATTCAAATGAAAATGCAGGCAGGAAGATAAATATGTGAGTCAGACATCCAGGGGACCCAAAATTCATACTAAGATAGGATGTATATTTCATCTCAAGAGCAAATGGCAGTGACATTCTGATGTTTATCTTACTCCAGATCGAGAGTCCCCTTGCCATGTGAAACTTTTACGAACGCAAAAAGTTGTCTATATTAGTTGTGGAGAAGAACACACAGCAGTCCTCACAAAAGTAAGGGACTCTGGAGTATTCTGGAATAATGTGGTACTGGGTATGACATGGATGACTATCATTGATTAATTATTTTATTATTTTTTATCCTTACCCAAGGATATTTTTCCCATTTATTTCTAGAGAGAGTGGAAAGGCGGGAGGAGGGAGGGAAAGAAGGGAGAGAGAGAGAGAAACATTGACATGAGAGAGAGAAACATCGACAGGGGAGAGATTCATCAATTAATTGTCCCCCACAGGAGTTCCTATTGGGTCTGGGGATCCTGCAGCTGAGGTGCATGCCCTTGACTGGAAACTGAGCTTGAGACCTTTTAATCCATAGGCCAATGCTCTAACCACTAAGCAACTGGCCAGGGCTGATTAAATTTTTTAAAATTGTTTTTTATAGTGTTTAGAGAGAATGGTGATGGTGCTTAAAATAGATTTATGTAAATAAACTTAAAATATAGTATATGTAGCAACATTCTGTGTTTCTTTAAAATAAGTCATTTAAATACAGGGTGGGTAAGAGTAGGTTTACAGTTGTTCATATGGCAAATAGTACAATCTCTCTATATAAAAGTTTAAGCGATCGTGCTACCATCCAACTGTTTGATTAGCCGGTAGGTATGATGTTCACTGACCACCAGGGGCAGATGTTCAATGCAGGAGTTGCAGAGCTGTGATGACTTGGCAGCTGTGGTTCTCGGGTGACGCACCCTGGAACTAGAGAGGAGGGAGCCCAATTCTTCGTAGGGCCACACGATTATACCTTTGACTGTGGGTTATGTTGTTGCTGGAACAATGCTGGCCCAAATCTGGTTTATTACCAAACTGTGGTGACAGCAGATCGAGCCTTGGTGCTGGCCCAGGTGCAGCCTTCCTGGGAGGGACCACGGGAGGTTGGCTCTAAGGCATGTCCAGCTGTCGCGCCCAAACCTTCCCCACCAGCCTCCTTCTAATTAATTTCCTTTCAATGTGCATAAATCTGTGCACTGGGCCACTAAATAATGGTATGGGAATGCTTAACCAATTTGATAGCCACTAAATAATGGGCCACTAAATAAAGTAATAAATAATGATACAAGAGTAAACTCTATTTTGGCTATTCACAACTGTAAACCTACTTTTGTTCTACCCTATATCTAGAAAAGAGCAATGTAATTAACATTTAAAAATTATCAACCTATTTCTTTTGCTTTTAAAACAATCACATCTAGACAGAGTGAAAACTATTTTCATATTGGATAAATACTATTATAGATTCACTTCAATAAAATACCTTAGCAATTATTCAAGTGTAGCTTTTAAAATATTTGGTAACTCCTTACTTACCAGGGAGTTTGTAGAGCATTTAATTTTTTTATACATGAAGGATCATGCATTCATTTTATTTCATCTTTTTATTTGTTTCTCTCTCTCTCTCTTTTTTTTTTTGTTCCTAACACATCATTGTACTTTTAAACAATTTTTAGAGTTTACAATTGGTACACATTCCCTTGAGCAGTGCTGTCTTTGTTCCATAAAGATATCTTAAGTTCCTTTATTATTATTTTATTTAATGAACGTCCCATAGAAGTGATCTTGGCCCACTATAAAGTAAGCATAGTGGTTTTGTTCAGGCCATTTGTGATATGAATTTTGTATGCAGAGGGTTTGAGAGGAGTGTGCTCAAACTCAGCAGTGCAGTGCAGTCATGTGATGTTTGTTCCTCGTTAGAGTGGAGGTGTGTTTACCTTTGGTGCTGGTTCCTGTGGGCAACTTGGACATGATTCCATGAATGATGAGGTTAATCCAAGAAGAGTTCTAGAGCTGATGGGCAGTGAAGTAACTCAGATTGCTTGTGGCAGGTGAGTGCTTGCTTCCAAGAGCTTCCTAGTATCTATCCCATCTATTTATGTAAATATATTTTTCTTGATTTCAGAGAGGGAGAGAGAGAGAGAGAGAGAAACATCAATGATGAGAGAGAACCACTCATTCGTTGCCTCCTGCATGCTCCCTACTGAGAATCAAGCCTGCAACCTGGGCATGTGTCCTTGACCAGAACCTGGGAGCCTTCAGTCCATAGGCCAACGCTCTATCCACTGAGCCAAACCAGCTAGGGCCCTAGTAGCTATTTAAACCCAGAAATGGATCTTGTCTTGTAGTGATGGAGAATGTGGTTAGACCTAATCACTATTATTTTAAGAAGTCGTAGCTGCTGCACACCTAATGGTGAAAGCTTGGAGAGCTGGTTCTGAGCAGGGTGTGGTAAGGAAGGGCTTTAGATAAGCAAAGCAACTTGCGGACATTAGAGTTCTTTTGGAATAAAGAGTAGCAGGATGTGGGGAAGACATGAAGAAAGGAAAGTGAGAGTCTCAGAGAACTTGTAGAAAATTCTGCCTGATCCACCCGCCTTCTTCCCTCTCATTCTAAAGGCCAAATGCAGCAGGACACCAGCTCTTCCCAAGACTTGCCATCTTCCCCGTGGCCATGAGCATCAGAAGGATAGGAGTATGGGAAGCCAGCCACTGTGAAAAGAGCCACCTAGAAATATGGGGAGGCTTTCTAGGGCATGCCTAGGAATTGCTGTACTCAACATGTGGACGTTCAAAGTCAGAGTCTGAATGTATATCTGTATTCAGTAATTATTTTTAATTTAACTCTGTTTCCCCAGACAACACACCCTTGCCTTTGTGCCTTCTTCTGGACTCATCTATGCATTTGGTTGTGGAGCAAGAGGTCAACTAGGAACTGGACACACTTGTAATGTGAAGTGCCCGTCTCCCGTGAAGGGTTACTGGGCTGCCCATAGTGGTCAGCTTTCAGCCACTGCTGGTAAGAGTGATTTTCATTAGAATTTAATGATATTTAAATGATAAAAACAATTTTTTAGAGAACATGTTTCTATTTTTTCCTTGAGACCTTTTGATTTTTTCTTTTAATATCAATCAACAAGTATTTGAGTACTAACTAGATAGGTGAGACCCTGAAGAATAAAGCAGAAAATGTTCTTTTGGCCCCAAGAACCTTGATAAACATTTTAATTATTATGAAAGTTAATGTTTATTGAATGCTTAACCAAGTTCCGTTACTATGCTAAGCACTTGGGATAACTTTAAAAACTAGTGGTTGTTATCCTCAGGCCAGTGACGAAGAGATTGACTCTTAAGGAAGTTAAGTAACAGAGATTCTGGGGCAGGATTTAAATTCAGCTCTGCCTCATTCTAAAGCTTTTGCTCTTAATACTTGCATTGTGTTACTTTCCTTTATTATTTTGGTCATAAAATGACACAGTTTCTTTTATGCTATTGTCTTCTTTCCTTAAAAAAAGTTAAATAGCATAGTGTCCAGAATAAGGCAGGCAGTCAGTGTGAATAAATTAAGAGGCTGCAATGGAGCTGGAGAGTCATAACAAGCAGCATAATTTAATAATTTTGAAGACTAAAGTGACACTTTCAGGATTATGGAAAACTTTCAGGACAGGGACTGAATCTTGTCCTCTTTGTAAACCTGGCTCAAACTTCTCACTCAGTAAATATTTGTGAAATGAATATATGAGTGTCTAAAAATGTAGAACTTAAAATATAAAATAAACAGGATTCTCCCCCCCCCCCCGCAATGTTCCAAAAAGTGAAAGAATGGCTTAGTGTCCTTTATGTCATTTGTAAATGTCTTTTTCTCAAAATATTGTATTTATTATGCTAGGAATGTATGTTTCAAAAATATACTAACTTTAAATACTCAAGTGTTTTATAGGTTGAAACCTATAGTCTTGAACTTTAATTACAACTAACTTAGGTGCCTTTTCCTTATGTGATCATAAATTTGTGTTATGATGTTTGCCAAAATGATTTTATAACATAAGTAGGTACATTTCAACTTATTATGGTAAATGCTGTGGGTTTAGAAACTTTCATGGTAATGTGGGAACACAGAGAAGGCATCGAGGAGTATTCCAGTTAGAGGAAGTTTGAGCTGTGTCTTTCATTTTATTTTTTATTTTATTTATTTTTTACAGAGAGGAAGGGAGAGGGATAGAGAAGTAGAAATATTGATGAGAGAGAAACACTGACCAGCTGCCTCCTGCACACCCTCTACTGGGGATGTGCCTGCAATCAATGTACATGCCCTTGACTGGAATCAAACCTGGGGCCTTTCAGTCCACAGACTGATGCTCTATCTCCACTAAGCCAAACCTTTGGCTTGAGCTATGTCTTGGCTTGAGTTATGTCTTATAGGATGGTGCGGAGTTAGCCAGATGGGGGACTGTGAGGAAGTGGGTGCTGCGTACCGGAATGGCACAGTTTCAGGAGTACTGTTCCGATTATGCTCTAGAAGACACCATTCATGGAAACAGAGTGTGTGCTGGTGGCAGTAAAAGGAAAAGGCATGGAGTGGTACTGTGTGAGAAATAAAAGCAGCGTGATGGCATTAGAGTATGACCACAGACACAGTGTGATGAGATACAAAGCAGGGAGTAGGGCATATAGGTTCTTACATGGCAAGCTTCATCCTGAAGGGGCTGGGAGCACCACACTCAGACGCTGAATTATTTGTTAGGCAGATGTAACTGTTCATAGTCCTGACCGTTTTAAGTTGCAGGTCAGTGGCATGACAGAATTAGAATGAACAGTAGAAATGAGGTCAGCATTAGTTGGCACTTGGGGAGGGGATGGAGACAGGGTTAGAGATGAAGGCTACCATTTGATATATTTATTTTTAATTGAAGTAGAAACAGTCCTGGGCAGAGAGCCAGGAGACAGTTTTTTTTTTTTTTTTTCACTTCTCTGACATAATTAAACTGGATAGGAAACCATTGTGAAGGATATTTTGGAATATTAGAAAAGGGATCAAGGAAAAACTTTAATTATTGAAAAATATGCTGTTGAAAATTTTTTTGACAGATCGCTTTAAATATCATATTGTTAAGCAGATCTTCTCTGGAGGAGACCAAACTTTTGTACTTTGCTCCAAATATGAGGTAAAATTTTCTTTTGACTATTACTTTGGGGGTTGAATGATGGTGAACCAGTATTTATTTTAATAAATAATTAAGTGGAAAAATAAATAATTACACAAGAACAATGTTTCTCTTTGTTTCTACCAGTTTATCTTATTAAAATAAGCAGACTAAACCCTGAAGAGGTTTGCTTCATTTTACTTCCTTGAAGTGCCAATATTTTTTTCGGGTATTTTAGTCATATAGTTCTAATTTATAATTTAAAATTATTTGTATCTATATCTGTTCCAAAAGAGATTTAAGGATACCTAGATAGTTCATACTTACTTTGGCATTATTAGAGTTCCTGTTTCTTTGCTTCCCCCTGAAGTAGTGAAAATATTAGGTGTTTGAGAACTTAGTGGGTTTCTTTTTTTTTTCTTTTTTTTTTTTTACATGATTGAATATATACTAAATATAGAAGAGAGACCCCAGTATTTAACTATCCTTTCTCATTTATGATCTGCTTATTGCACCACACTCAAATTTTCCTCATATTGTCTCCTGCATCACATTTGTGTGTAAGTCAGGAAGAAGGAGGTTCCAGTATCTTTCGTGGTTGAAGGTAGGAGAATATGGCCTAGGGCAGTGGTCAGCAAACTCATTAGTCAACAGAGCCAAATATCAACAGTACAACGATTGAAATTTCGAGAGCCAAATTTTTTAAACTTAAACTTCTAACGCCAGTTCTTCAAAATAGACTTGCCCTGGCCATGGTATTTTGTGGAAGAGCCACCCTCAAGAGGCCAAAGAGCTGCATGTGGCTTGCGAGCCACAGTTTGCCAACCACAGGTCTAGGTATCTGCAACAGTGCTTTAATTCGTTGCCTTCTTCCTGGATGAGGAAAATTATTCTGCAACCAGCACCAGAGAATTGCCCTCCATCCTCTCTTCTACTCTTGTGCTTTCTCTCCTCTCCTCTCTTGCCCACCCTGCATTGATCCTTATCCTGTCCTTGAGGAGCAAGGAAGGGGCATTGGTGAAGATAAAGGATTCCAAATTGGAAATTTTCCCCATTGGTCTGATATTTTGCCGTCTATAAATATGAAATGTTCTTACCTTCTAATTAGTATAATTCTATGCTTTTGGTAGAAAAGGTTGTGGTAGAGCCCGAGGCTGCAGGTTGGGCAGCTAAAACTGATAATTAGATATTTTCCAGGTCAGCAGCCTGAAGAAGGTTCTGTTTAGTGGCACCATCTGGGATGATTGGGAACTCTGACTTTAGGCCTATTTTAGACCCAGCTTCAGTGCTTCACAGAGAAATGTTGAGCAAAGATGAAATTATTCTGTGTCTTCAAGATGCCAATAAAGCGAAGTATGAAAAAACACTGAATCTCTGCAGATTAATAACTTTTTATCCACAAGTAGTAGAGTTCAAAGTACTCATATTCCAAAGAAATTGACTTGAATAATATTATTCGATATATTCAAAAATAGTTTTCCTGTGCAATTCAACATAAAACTTAGTTTCCTTCTTTTATAAATGTTACTAGAGGCCTGGTGCACAAAATTCATTCACTGGGGGTTGTGGTCCCTCAGCCCAGCCTGTACCCTGTCCAATCTGGGACCCATGGAGGGATGTCCGACTACCCATTTAGGCCTGATCCTGGTGGGATCTGCCTGATTGCCTCTAACTGCTTCTACTGCCAGCCTGATCACCCCCTAACCACTCCACTGCCAGCCTGATCAATGCCTAACTGCTCCCTAGCTGGCCCGATTGCCCCTAACTGTCCTCCCCTGCTGGCCTGGTCATCCCTAACTGCCCTCCCCTGCAAACCTGGTCCCTCCCAACTGCCTTCCCCTGCAGGCCTGGTCCCCCCCAACTGTCCTGCTGGCCTAGTGCCCCCAAACTGCCCTCCCCTGCAAACCTGGTCCCTCCCAACTGCCTTCCCCTGCAGGCCTGGTCCCCCCCAACTGTCCTGCTGGCCTAGTGCCCCCAAACTGCCCTCCCTTGCTGGCCTGGTCTCCCCCAATTGCCCTCTTCTGCCGGCCTGGTCATCCCCAACTGCCCACAACTGCCCTCTCCTGCTGGCCATCTTGTAGTGGCCATCTTGTGTCCACATGGGGGCAGCCATCTTTGACCAAATGGGGGCAGCCATGTTGTGTCTTGGAATGATGGTCAATTTGCATATACTCTTTTATTAGATAGAATCCTATCGATATATAATAAAGAGGTAATATGCAAGTTGACCATCACTCCAACACACAGGATGGCCGCCACAAGATAGCCAGCAGGGGAGGGCAGTTGTGGGTGATCAGTCCTGCAAGGGAGGGCAGTTGGGGGTGATGAGGCCTGCAGGGGAGGGCAGTTGGGGGCGACCAGGCCTGCAGGAGAGGACAGTTAGGAGTGACCAGGACAGTTGGGAGTGATCAGGCCTGCTGGGGAGGACAGTTAGGGGCAACCAGGTCAGCAGGGGAAGGCAGTTAGGGGCAATTGGGCTGGCAGGGGAGGAGTTAGGCATTGATCAGGCTGGCAGAGGAGGGGTTAGGGGGTGATCAGGCTGGCAGGCAGGCGAGTGGTTGGAAGCCAGCAGTCCTGGATTGTAAGAGGGGTCCCAGATTGGAGAGGTTGCAGGCTGGGCTTAGGAACACCTGTCCCTCATGCACAAATTTCATGCACCGGGCCTCTAGTCTTATATAACACGGTGGGGCAAAAGTAGGTCTACAGTTGTTTGGTGAAGGCCTGGGGAGGAAGAGAGAATGAGGTGAAGGGGGTCATTGGGGAAAGAAAGAGGACATTTATTTTTCAATAATAAAGATAAATAGAAAATAAAATAATATAATCCTATATAATAAAGAGCTAATATGCTAATTAGACCGAACAGACAAACAACCTTCTGATGAAGCCAAGGCTGCTAGGGCTGCAAGGGCTGAGCCCCTTCTTGCACAAATTTTGTGCATCGTGCCTCTAGTAAATTAATAAGTTAATTAAAATTAATAATACAAGAATAAATTGTGTTTCAAGTACTCACAACTGTAAACATGCTTTTGCCCCACCCTGTAATGTCCCTAAAGAATCTTTGCTCCTTCTGTTGTCCAGTCTCCAGTTCACTTATGCCAGTACCAACATTGGCCTTTACAGTCCCCTTTCTTTATTCTGTTCTGTGTTCTTTTGCTATTTGCTTTAGGTTTTCTCCTACAGACCAGGTCTTGCAAATCTTATGTTTAGGTTTATTTTTCTTTGCCTAATTCAAGGAATCATAAATCCTGCCAAAGCCAGTTGTCTCACCACCACCAAAATGGGTTCTGAATCCAAATGTAGAGATGACATCTGCTGGACTTGTACATTTTGGTTAGTTTTCCTTGAATTTCTGTCTTTGATACTGTTCCCTTCTAGGGATGTTGATGACCATTTGTTTCCAGAAACTTCCTGGTGTGGATAGTTACTGGGATGTTCGTGATGGCAGCCTATCCTTAAGCAGCCAAAGAGGAAAAAAAGCTGTAGTTGAATTTTAAATTTACTGTAATTAACACTGATGTGGCTAGCAAAGAATACATGGACGAGAAGGAAGTGAAGTAGGCTAGTGTTTTGAAGTAGGCTAGTGTTAAAGAAACAGGGAAGGTTAAAGTGTAAACACTTGTTAAGAGTGGTATGCATTAAAAATGTAAGATTGCAAGGAAAAAAAAGAAAATAAAAATAGAGTATTACTTGGTTAAGGTGTTGATCTTTTTTACAACCTGAGACCTATACACTTTTAAGCCATTAACCATAGATTTCTTTTTTAGAAATGGAAACTGATCAAATCGTGTTTATCTTGCTACCATTATCACATGAAGAATCACTTAAAGAACCAATAAAAAGCATCTGTGTAGTAACAGGCTCCATTTTTGTGAAATGCTGACTCATTCATTTGTACCAGGCCTGAGGTGGAAGAAGGGAGGGGAGGAGTTTTTTTATTTGATTCTAGGTCTTGGCAATTTAGTGAGTGTAAACCCTAGCCATTTTTCCTCTCATCTTGTTCCCCGGATAGGACTGGAGAGGGAATGTGGTTGGGATTGTGTTTTGTGCATGTGTGTGTGTGTGTGTGTGTGTGTGTGTGTGTGTATTTGTCTGTCTGTCTAAAAACCTGCTGTCCTATATAATAAAATGCTAATATGCAAATCGACTGAACAGCAGAACTACTGGTCGCTATGACATGCACTGACCACCAGGGGGCAGATGCTCAGCACAGGAGTTGCACCCTGATGGTCAGTGCGCTCCCACAGGGGGAGCATCGCTCAGCCGGACGCTGGGCTCACGGCTGAAGACCACAGTGGTGGTGGAGGGAGACTCTCCTGCCTCTGCAGTAGTGCTAAGGATGTCTGACTGCTCTGGGCTGAGGGATCCTCCCCCGAACCCCCTTCCCACCCCGAAATGCACGGATTTTGTGCAACGGGCCTCTAGTGTGACATAATCCTCTTTTCTTAGAAGAGTTAATCTCAACCTAAGTTACTCATTGAAATCACCTGGGGCCTTAAAAAAAACATGCTGATGCCCCTAGGGATCTGATTGAATTGGTGTAATGGGACTTGGCCACCAGGATTTGTAATTGCTCTGGTGACCCAAGAGTAGCCAAAGTTAAGAAACACTGTCCTAGACCAACTTTTTCGTTTTGGCCTGTATGTAATTAGAAGACATTGATTAGAAGAAAATTGATGCTTTTTCTTAGATCTTTAGGTAATTCTGAAATTGTACTTTATTTAAGGCACCTGTAGTTTATTGGGTGGACATGTAGGAAAGAATGAGAAAATAATTCCATATCTATATTTTATGTATAAGTATGTGTTCAGCTACACCCTTCAGTGGGGGAAGTAATTAAAATTTACATAACAGCAGTAGTTTAAAATCAGAGTGTGTATGTGCTCAAATGTCTACATTGTCTTATGATTTTTCTCTATATAATTCAAGATGACTTGTCTGTGGCCATTTTAGTAAAATAATTATCAAGAACCAGATGATCAAAAACTTTGGCAGGCGTCTCTGATTCATTATATGATCTTCTCTTTTTCCCTTTTAATAGTATCTTAACTCATAATTATGGGAAAAAACAATAAAATTTACTTTGAAAGTTTTATTTTTATGTGTAGATGCAAACTAGAAAAAAAATGATCATTTTATGAATTGGTGGATGAATGTTCTAATATTTTTTGCTCTTTTTTAAAAATCTATATAGTTTATTAATTTCAGAGAGGAAAGAGGAGAGAGAGAGAGATAGAAACATCAATGATGAGAAAGAATCATTGATTGGCTGCCTCCTGCACGCCCCCTACTGGAGATCAAGCCCACAACCCAGGTACCCTTGACCTGAGTCGAACGCAGGACCCTTCAGTCCGCAGGCCGACACTCTATCCACCGAGCCAAATCAGCTAAGGCACTTTTTGTTCTTTTTTACTGACAAGTATAGGAGGCATAAAGTACTTTCAACTTTTTCATAGTTCTACATCAAGAACAGGATTTGGGGAAAATTAGTTGAAAAAGGGAAATTTTTGAAAATAAAACTGCTTTTTTTTTAAAAACAAACAAACAAACAAAAAAAAAAAAACAAAATCCCTCACTGAATAAAGGTTGTACAGTCCTGGGCAACATTTGGAATTTTAAGTCCACTATCGACATGCCCTTTTGCCACCTTTATAAATTTATAGCTATAAACTTGGAGCAAGAAATTAAGAGGCATTCTTTATAGATTATTTGCAATGTACATTATAAGAACTTTTTATAATGTATTATGTTGGAGTTCAGCGAATAGTTATGGCACATAATTTATACCTTAGAAACCTTGATATTACAGTGATTCAAAGCCAAGGGGCAAGAAGTTTGGAAAATCTGTTTTAATTTCTCTGGGAAACGAACTCTGAGGCTGAGATTTATGTTCAGAAAGTTGTTTGGGGGAGTGCACTATAGAACAACATTTACTTGGATGAAGGAGTCAGGATTGGGCAGAGGGAGAAGTTGAACTGCCATCAATATAACTGAGTCCCCAGCCAATCCTTGGGGAGCTCTGAGGTTGGGGTGGTCCTTCAGCCATTCCTGAGTTGAGGCACAGGGGCTGGGCCTTGCTGTCACACCTCTAACTGCCACCAGATGGGAAGGGAGTGAAGCAATTTCTGGAAAGCAGCCCAGCTGTCAGCTGTCAGGAGCTTACCCTCAGCAGCTGGGGGGAGTGAGTTCCCCCATTCTGAAGGGTGGGGGACACCTGGGCAGTGCACCCCAGCTCCTGTAGTAAGTGAAACACAGAATGGAGAAAATGTCAGGAGAAGCAGAAGGGAAAAGATCCATCCTACATAATTTCTCATTTTTACTGTTATATTTCATCCTCCAGAATTCTTCTCCTGCTGTTGACTTCAGGATTATGAACCAAGCACATTATACCAGTTTAATAAACGATGAAACCATAGCAGCTTGGAAACAAAAACTCTCAGAACACAACAATGCAAATACAATCAAGTATGTGATTGTTTGTTCTCATTTTATTTTTTTCCAATGTGTGGTGGAATCTTCTATCTTAGTGATTTTCCCCACTTCCATATTGAGATTGTGAATATAAATGGTGTTTTACATTTTAGGGAACCAGTTTTGCACATATTTATTCAGGATTTGTGTTCTTACCCCAAATAACATACTAGGTTATTCCTTCTTCATTCTTTCAGAGATTGTATTCCTCAACCTGCCTTGTTCAGATCTTATAAAATCCTGATAAAAGTCTGAGTTGGCCTTTCTGTTAAGAAAACTTATTGTTTGACCCCACAAGTTTCTTCATATGCATGTTCCAAAGCATCCTAAGTCTAAGACAGCTACCTTACCTCATCTGAATATTCTATAATAGGATTCACAAAGATTAGTTGAGATGGCAATTCAGTGTCAAGTAGGGAAAAAATATAGTAAAAAGTATTGAGGCCTTTGTTAAGTTTATCTTATTCTTAAAGGAGGATTTTTTTAGTGAACATTTTTATACATTTTTCATCGGTTTTCTTTAGCATTTCTATTTTTTTGCAGAGACTCTTCTTGGGAAAGAATGAATCACATTTGCTGTACTAAGCAGTGGTCATTCCCGGAAATGTGTCTTCATACACCTGGCTTTATGCCATGGATTGTAGTGGAGCAGATGACCAGGGTCTGAACTTAGGGCACACTGTGGGGTCAGTGGGCATGCCCTAGGGCAGTTCTTGGCTGTCCTCAGAATCGGTGTCTCACAGAGGAGTTAGGCTGGAAGGTAGCAGGGGGAACGGGACTAGATTCACTGTTGAAGGGCTGGGTGAGGGGACTGTAGCCTCACTTGGCTGGAACCATGATACTTTTCTAGTTTTCAGATCATTACCAGGTACAATTTTTTTTTTTTTTATAGTTTTGATGCTTTGTTTTAATTTTAATACTAGAGGCCTGGTGCAAGAAATTCGGGCACAGGGGGAGGAAGTCCCCTCAGCCCAGCCTGCACCCTCCAATCCGGGACCTGTCGGGGAATGTCCGACTGCCAGTTTAGGCCCTATCCTCTCAAAATCTGGGACCACTGGCTCCTAGCTGCTCATCTGCCTGCCTGATGGCCCCTAACTGCCCCCCCCCACCAGCCTGGTTGCCCCCCCCCTACTAGCCTGGTGGCCCTTAACTGCCCCCACCCCGCTGGCCTGTTCACTCGTAACTTCCTCTTACTGGCCTGGTGGCCCCTAATATTCCCCTTCTCCCTCCCACGGGCCTGGTTGCCCCACGTAGCCTACTGCTTGGTCGTTTGGTCATCCCTCACTAAGCCCCCTGCCAGTCATCCCATGCAGCTTGTTCGGTCGTCCATGTGCTTAGTCTTTTATATATATAGATGACTTATGGAAAACTTAAGCTCTTTTTTGTTTTTAGATGTGACGCAATGTTGTTTTTTAAGCAAATTGTATGTACATTTTCCAAGGCTTCACCTGAAACTCTAGAAAAAGCTATATGTCTAATCTATTGCTGATGCTTAAATAACCACCTATTTGTAATTATTAAAGGCTTTCCTCCCTTTTTCTCTCTGGGCAGTGGTGTTGTTCAGATATTATCTTCTGCAGCCTGTTGGAATGGAAGTTTTCTTGAAAAAAAGTAAGTGAGTGACTTAGAGTCTTAAAAAAAAAATTCCCACATGTGATAAAGGTACTTACTGTGAAACACTTCTGTTCTCTTTGATAGTGGTTGGCCTTAATTCAGTGGATAAGCTAATGATTTACGCAGAAACTGGAATGCTGTGGTAATGAAGGAAAGGCAATGCTGACTCATGCCTGGTTGGCAAAGAGGATGATTATCAAAGAGAGAGGCTGTGTCTCAGAAAGAGTTGATGTAATCAAAAGTAAGATTTTGGCCTGACCTGTTTGGCTCAGTGGTTAGGGTGTTGGCCTATGGTCTGAAGGGTCGCAGGTTCGATTCCAGGTCAAGGGCATATACCTTGGTTGCATGTGTCTCTCTCACATCAGTGATTTCCTCTCTGTTTTCTTTCTCTCACTTTCTTCCCCCTCTCTTCACCTTCCACATGTTCTAAAAATCAGTAGAAAAAATACCCTCATTCTTTGAATGAGGATTACATGTGTACAACATTTATTCTTGAATTCTTAATTCTCTAAGTAATCTTGATTTCGTATCCCATATGATTTTTTTTTTTTCTCATCAAGAGTGAGCTTAGGGAAAGGTCCAAGGAGACTTCAGGGCTTGTGGACTCAGGTCCAGCCCAGCTCACCAGGAAATTACATTTGGGCTGAATCCTCAGGTAGTAAATAGAGTGTGGGTTTTGTTTTTTGTGTTTTTTATTATTATTTTTTATTTATTTTTTTCTTTTTTTGCCATATCCCTTCTGCAGATATTCCCTTTAGGAACCTGATGCAGCAGAAGGGTTTGTCATGCATGGGTTTCGATTTTTGGTGATCCCAAACCCTTTCCATCTCTTCGTACTTTTGCCAATGAGAATCTCAGGAAGACTTTGACATAATTTTCTGTGTATGAATCCCACTCCCCCATCCCACTCAAATTATGTACCAACTGAGTCACAAGAGGTCACTTCAGAAACTCTTCAGTGAATTAGAAATTGCTAAATGATTTACTTGTATCATTAGGGCAGTTAGAGTGAGCTCATCCAATTCATTTCAGACTCAATTCTTAGCCTTTTCCTCCAGGGAAAAGTATTCTGGATTGTGCTGATTTTGGTCTTTTTTAGAACAGTGGTTCTCAACCAGGCTGATTTTGCCTCCCTGGGGTATCTGGCAATGTCTGGTGACGTTTTTTGTTACAATGGGGTAGGTACTAGTATTCTACTGGTACCCAGTAGGCAAAGGCCAGGGGTGCTGCTGAGTAGCTCACAATCCCACCCGCTCAACGAAGACTTTTCTGAAGTTAATAGTATCAAAGCTGAGAAACCTTGTTCTAGAAGGACAGCCCCATGAAGGTTAGAAATGGCTCTCAGATTTGTCAGGATATCCATCCTTCATATCATGGGTTCCATCGGGTTCTGGGTGAAGCTTTTCTTTTTAACTGACAGCAGTGCCGTTTCAGGAGTCCTGCTCCTACAGCTTATACGGAGTGGATTGATGGGGACAATTAAAATGAAGATCAGTTTTACAGAGCATATATGTAAAATCTTTTGTATTTATATATATATATATTTTTTTTTAATTTTTTTTCTTAACAGTGTAGCAAAATTACATCTAAGTGTGTGGAAAGTGACATACGCGACACCAGAATGAATTTCTATGGTTCGGGCAGATGTTTTGTTTTTTCGAAACCAACAAAAGACCCAACAAAGCCCCACCATCTCCTCTTGATTTGACAGTTTAGGTTCTAACACATATAACGACGGTTTAAAAACAAATGTGAGAGACTCTGCTTATGTTTTTACAAATTAAAACATTGCTGTCAGAGGGTGTTAAGACTTTCTGAATGTGTCCATTACTCATAAACAGAAGCCTGTTTGGCAAATAGCTTGTCTTTCTGTGACCAATAGATGTGGAATGTTCAAGAGTGGACATTTAATAGAGACATTCTCTAAGTCTAAAAGACGGAAAACTTTATTCAGGCTACTTTAAAATGCTCTTTATTCAAGGTTGGAAAAAAGATTAGTTGCTGGGAAGTTAAAAAGAGTAGCAGTGAAATTTAGTCCCTGGGTGAATGTAATTGTATCTTTCTCTTTTAAAAAAAAAACATGTTTTCATTGATTTTAGAGGGAGAGAGAGAAAAACATCAGTGAGAGAGAAACATTACGAGATTGCCTCCTGCACGCCCCCTACTAGGGAGTGAGCCTCAGCTATCTGGTCATGTGCCCTAACCAAGAATCCAACTGGTGACCTCTTGGTATGTGGGACAGTGCTGAATCCACTGAGCCACCCCGGCCAAGCTGTAATTGTATCTCTTTTGTTAACTAATAGAAACATTAGTGTTGTATTTGTTGTAGGTCTGATTTTAAGAAAGGCTTTAAACAAGGAGGTTATTTCTTGCCACTTGTTGATGAGTGGGCCAGTTTGCAGAGGGGACTTTTTTTTTGCATTGGGCACAGCATCCACAGCTTGTTCAGTGCACAGTTACAGAAAAAGGCAAAAACACAAGAGTTAATCAAGGAAATAACACAGCTCATAAACTTTGAGACGGTCTCAAATTGAAATGATGATCCTTGTGCTTAGACTGGAAAGAAAAAAGGCTCGCCAATTTTAAGAATATCTTGAAAAAGGGATTCCAGAGAGGTTTATTCTGTCTGACTTTACTATATTGTCTGCCAGGTCAAATTAAATGTGATCAGTATTGATAAACTATTTGTTTACCTATTTATAATTCCTGTCAGAGTGTTTGCTTTGTGTTTGCTTACACCCTCTTTTGTTTTTGTTTGTTTAGAATTGATGAACATTTTAAAACAAGTCCAAAAATCCCTGGGATTGACCTGAACTCAACGAGGGTATTATTTGAGAAGTTAATGAACTCGCAACATTCTGTGATTCTAGAACAGGTATGTTCTTTACGTTTAAAAATGCACTTTTTTTTTCCATTGCAATATTTTAATTTTCAAGAAAAAGATGAACAGGCAAAGGTCGTGTATAAACCTTAATTCTAAAATATTCAGTTTGAGATTTTGACCTACCGTCCACTTTCTTTTTGGCCTAAGCCCGTAGTTGGCAAACTTTGGCTAGAGAGCCTCTTGCTGCTCCTTGGTCCCTTGAGTGTGGCTCTTCCATAAGATACCACAGCCTGGGCAAGTCTATTTTGAAGAAGTGGCGTTAGAAGAAGTTTAAAAAATTTGGCTCTCAAAAGAAATTTCAATTGTTGTACTGTTGATATTTGGCTCTGTTGACTAATGAGTTTGCCGACCACTGGCCTAAACCTTCCTAAGGAAATGCCCTTACAACGCAGAGTGTAAGGTCTGCGTGGGCAGCTCTTCGGCTTTTCTTTTCACTGATATATTCTGAACACCTAGATCAGTACCTGTCTCGTAGGAGGTCCTCCGTGATACAGTGCATGAGAGTTGAGAATCTATTAAATAGCATATGAATTAGAGATGGGGTAACTAGATCTCATGTATGCTTGAATTGCTCAAAGCTCTTTTCTCTCGTACAGATCTTAAACAGCTTTGAAAGTTGCCTGATTCCCCAGTTGTCAAGTTCACCACCAGATGTTGAAGCCATGCGAATCTATTTAATACTACCTGAGTTCCCCCTGCTCCAGGATTCCAAGTATTATATAACGTTGACTATTCCCCTGGCTATGGCCATTCTGAGGCTGGATACAAACCCTAGCAAAGTATTAGGTGAATTTGCTATATTCAGTACTAATGGTTTTGTGCTTTTTATTTTATTGGTGTGACCACTGGCTCTCGGTGGACTGAGATCCAAGAAGCTATTTGTTGCCATTTAACATCCTTAACATTTTAACCTTTTTCCCTTGCTGTTAATTTCCAACTAGCCGTATTGGCTGTTTGAACAAATTGAACCATTAATTTGGATATTTGAAATAATCCACACCACACTAATATTGACTTTTAGATATCCACAGAGTTAGATTATCCAGCTTTATTTTTCCTTTTCCTGTTCTTGCTAGTAGTTAGTAGTGCCTCAACATTTTATGTCTATCATAGCTTTTACTCCTATACCGAACTCAGGGGGTGGGAGTGAAATGAACAGTTTTGGTGATTCACAGGTCTCCAGAAAAGGAGAGGAAGAAAATGACCTGGACACTTACCAAATGTTTGTTTTGTTTTTCTTTCTTAGGGCAGTTGAGTCCTCACTGATTTTTGCAGGCTACGGACCCTTTGCTGAGATAAGAACCTTCCGTTCCTCAGTGAATTGGAGAGTGTCTCTCATGGGGCAGCCTCTGAGATGTTTTTATTATTAATCAAGTGCAGAAAGCCTGTCTACTGGCCTTTTCCTTTTTATTCCCCCTGGTAAATTTTTTTAGGTGTTCACCGCAGCTCAGTAACCTCTGCGTTCCCTGAGAGATAGGATGTTACTTGAGGGTGATCTCCCCATGAGTAAGGAGACCTGTGTTCCTCGAGGTGGAGTACTGGGGTATATTGCTTTCCACCTTTGCAGAAGATAAAAACAGAAATCATGAAAGCACTAGTAGTAATAGGTTAGCCCTTAGTTATTTTTTAAGATCAAAAGCCTTTTGGAGTGTATTTCTCAGATGTGTAGAGAGATGGCATCTTGTGAAGGAGTATAGTACCCGACTTTTAGATTTTGAAGGTTTTTAATTTTGTTTTTTCCAGGTAGGATGGCACAAAGCGATTGAAATCATTCAGTTTTACACTGAATTTGTTTTTAACTTCTACTTATAGAAATTTAAACTTAAAAAAAAAATACCCTAAAGTAGAGAGAATGCTACAGGAAATCATCAACCAGTGATTATCAGCATTTTACCCATTTTGTTTTATCTATTCCCCTACCACAACCTTTATATTTTTTTGCTGGAGTATTATTTTTAAGTCTCAGATATCATATTATTTAATCTTATACATATTTCAGTATGGCTGAATTTATTACTGACAAAATAGAAGTTACTGATATCATTTTCTTGTCAGGTTATGAGAGCATTGTTTGGTGAGAGGCAGAAATTGTAGTTTTTCAATTAATCATGCCTCTTTAAGGGAAGGAATGGTTGTCATATTGATGCTGTCCTGGGATGTGTGGTCATTGGCATCCCTGATCCAGGATTTAGATGTGGTGGATGAGAAGGGGGTTGAAAGGACTAAGATAGATGACTGCTCCTGCCCAAAATATGTACCTTAGCATCCTGTCCACATGTACCCTTGGGAGTGAAATTTTAGATTAGCCTTCTAAATGAGTTTTTGAGGGGGGAAAAAATCAGATCAAGCTTTACAAAAAAGGCTCTAGGGATTCTTGCATAGCTGCTGCTCACTCTAGAAATGCCTTAGTGGATTCCTAAAAAAAAACCCTACAAAATCCACATGTTTTTATTGATTTTAGAGAGAGAGGAAGGAAGAGGTAGAGAGAAACATTGATGAGAGAGAAACCTCGATCGGCAGCCTCTTGCTTGCCCTCTACTGGAAATTGAGCCAGAAACCCAGACTTGTGCCCTGCCTGGGATTTGAATTGGTGACCTCTTGGTATATGGGCTGACGCTCAACCAACTGAGTCACACCAGTGATGACTAATGGATACTTTTAAAATCAGTTTTAGGAAACTGTATTTTAGAATGACATTCCCTTTTTAGCTGGAGTGGTTTTTAGCTAGTAGTCAGAAGATGTAAACACTTAAGACATAAATATCAAGATTATATGTTGAAATATTTTTTTTTCTTTCTTTCTAAAGATAACTGGTGGTCTCAGGTATGCCCGAAATATTTCAAGAAGCTGGTAAACCTCTATAAAGATGCAGTTGTTTATCTACTTCAAGGAAGAAAGACATTCTTAATTCCTGTACTGTTTAACAGTTATATTACAGCAGCTCTCAAGCTCTTGGAAAAGTTATATAAGGTAAATGTTGAACTTGGGGATAAGGCTGAATACATGGGAGGGTCAAATGTCCTACTGAGATGTTCGGTGGGAAGCCATTGTCCACTTGTCTTGGTGTTAGTTGTCTTTATTTTGTTCTACGTCAGGTAAACCTTAAAGTGAAGCATGTGGAATATGATGCATTTTACATTCCTGAGATTTCCAGTCTTGTGGACATTCAGGAAGACTACCTCATGTGGTTCTTGCATCAAGCAGGCACGGTAAGAATTCATGTAAAGCATATCTTACAGCTTTAGTCTTTTCTCAGAGTACAAATAAGGCTAATGAAAGCACACCTGGGCCCTTTAAATGTGTCCTTGACTTTGGTGTTTGTGTCATACCTGTGTTTTATCCACTGACTTCTGCATTCTTGAAAGTTTGAAGTCCTTTGAGTAATCTCAAATGATCATAAAGAGTTATTATTTGGGTAGTCACATAGAAATGATATAAATTTTAATTAGTTGTCAACATGAAAAAATATATCAAGGTATCTAAAGTAGTCAGACTCATAGGACCAGAAAGTAGAATAGTGGGGAAGGGAAGTGGGTAGTTGTATTATAATGGGTATAGAGTTTCTGTTTTGCAAGTTGAAAGCATTTTGGAGATCATTGCTCAATAATGCAAATATAATTAATATTACTGAACTGTATATTTTTAAATGACACAGTAAATTTTGTTGTATGTATATATCACAATTTAAAAATGTCAAGAAATATTAAATGAATTTTTAGCTTTTCTTGGAACTCACAAGATCTGGCAACATGACCTTCTTCCCAGATGGCACTAATTGGCTGGCGTTGAATAGTGGTTCTTTAGACGAGGCTTCTGTGTGCCACAATCCCCACTGCAGCTTGGCTTTGACATTGAATAAAGGACATTTGCTAATTATCATCTTCTAATAGCTATCCTACTTCAGTCATCTTATTTAGCTGCTTGAACCCTATAGGCCACTCTGATTTAGGATTATGTGAATGAAAAGGTCACATATCCCTGACCTAGTTCTCACCATATGTTAGACATGCCACCCAAGGAACTTCGTGCAGGTTCCTGCCTGCCACCCTTGACGTGGCAAGAATTGCTTAGTTTTTTTGTGTATGTTTTCTTTTTAATATATTTTATTGATTTTTTTCAGAGTTAAAGGGAGAGGGATAGAGAACTAGAACTAGAACTAGAACTGATGAGAGAGAAATATCGACCAGCTGCCTCCTGCATACCCTCTACCGGGGATGTGCCCGCAATCAAGGTACATACCCTTGACCGGAATTGAACCTGGGACCTTTCAGTCCGCAGACCTATGCTCTATCCACTGAGCCAAACCGGTTTCGGCAAGAACTGCTGAGTTTGAATGTAATGTTTTGAGGTATATGCAAGGCTTTTTAGATTCCCCATCTGTGATGTATGTATTATATATATTTGAGTTATGTCAGAAAACAGAATGATAATTTAGTTATAATATTTAGTGAAGCCCTGCACAGCAGAGACATTTGAGGTGAGTTCTTGCCAGTTTAACAGATTTATCACCAACATTTAGGCAATATTTTCCTGGTAGGGTTTTTGGAGGTCAATAATGGCCTCCAAAAGCAAGGTATTTAAATAGGTTTAATTTACTAAGCAAGATTATTTTCTTTACCAAATAATAGATGATGAACGTTAGACATAATATATATTTTTAATAAGATTTTATAATTACCTTATAAATACTTTTCAGTAATAGTGGAGTAGAGTATCCTAAATAGGTTTACAAGAGAACTTTAACATGGGGGGTAACAATGAGCTCTGCTTTCACCAATTTAGAAATTGTAAAAAGGTTAAATTTTTTTTGTTTCATCCATCTGTATCAGGTTATTATTCATTTAAATGGAATGTTAAGAGCTGAAATAAGCCTTATGAATTATTTAGATCAACTGCTTTGTTTTTAGGTGAGGAAATGGAGACTCCTGAGAGTTAAAACAATTTTCCCAACAATTTAATTAGCCATAAAAGCCAATTCTTCTGACTTCTAATCCGTACCCTTTCTTGACTTAATGCTGAATAGGATAATTCTAAAGAACCCTGATTTTTTTTGCCACTGAAAAAAAAGTTACTGCTGTTAAATTCTAGGTTATCATGATTGTGATCTCTGAATGGAAGTTAAAATAGCAACTTTATAACTTTTTAATAGTTTTTTCTCTTAACATTTAATAAGCAAATATAGTCTTGAATACCAAAAGCTCGTCTCCTCTTCAGTAATTAAGGGAGTTATTATAGAAAGGTAGAAAATAAGGTGAAATTACTAGGTGAACTTTTGTGGAATTTGAGAAAGCTGTATAAAGTGCAATAGTTTTAGAAATTGAAGTTTAAATTCTTTTATATCTTGGGTTTTAACCTGAATTGCTAAAGCCATCCTATATAATAAAAGCCTACTATGCAGATTGACTGACCAGCAGAATGATGGGCAGAATGACCGGTTGCTATGATGTGTACTGACCACCAGCAGTGGTGGCAGGGGGTGGGGTCAGCAAGTGGGCGACTGCAGGCCAGCCAAGGTGGGTGCCAGCAGGGGACCCCCCTGATCGTCCCGCCCACTTGCCCTCCAGAGGGAGGTGACTGGCGGTGGCAGCAGGGGACTGGGCCGACAAGCAAGCGGCACCAAGTCAGCCAAGATGGGTGCCATTGGGGCCTTCCCAATCGCCCCACCAGTCGCCCTGCAGATCGGCCCTGGTCACCAGCCAGGCCTAGGGACACTACCCCTGTACGAATTTCGTGTACCCGGCCTCTAGTTTTATATATAAAGTTACATGTTGTTGTGTTTTTGTTTTTTTTTTACCACTGTTTTGGTGTGTAATTGACATACGGTTTTATATTAGTTGAGATGTACATAATGGTTCATTGTGTGTATACACTATGAAATTATGACCATAATAAATCTAGTTACCGTCTGTCACCATGCACAGTTACAGATGTTTTTTTCTTGTGATGAGAACTTTTAAGATTTACCATTTTAGCAACTTTAAAATGTGTAGTATAGTAGTATTATTATGTAAGTCACCAGGCTATACATTAGCTCCTCAGAGCTTATACCGTTTGACCTATATCTCCCATCTTCCCAATCCTTTGCCCCTGGAAACCACCCTTCTTTTTCTGTGAGATTGGCTTTTTTTTTTTTTTTTTTTTTTTTTTTTTTAATTCTTCATACAAGTGATACCATATAGTATTTGTCTTTCTCTGGCTTATTTCACTTAGCAAAATGCCCTTCAGGTTCACCCATGTTGCTACAAATGCCAAGATTTCCTTGTGTTTTTTTGTTTTTGTTTGTTTGTTTGTTTTTAACGGGGGAATAATAATCCATTGTCTATGTACACAATAAATATTTTTTTGTGTGTCTTAAATTTTTTTAGCTTAGTAGTAGCTGAGGCAGTAGAGCATGTAGTCCAGAGGACATACTTAGGTTGAAAACAGATGTGTTCTAGTCTCCACTCTGGCCCATTACTTATGTGACCTTAGGCACGTTACTTAATTTCTATAGGCCTAGCAACCTCATTTGTAATGAGAATTATAACGGTATTGTGAGACTTAAGTGGAGGAAAGCATGCATGGAAAAGCCTTATTTGGCAGTGCTTTACTTGGCCCTCAACTATTTTTTGGTAAGCTGTTCTTGGCACCTATATTATACAGTGTGCTTGCTAGTCACCGGGGAGGGAGAGATGTACAGGACGTGGTAGCTGCCTCTATGGATGTACAGTCCAGAGGCAACGGTGAAAAAGGGATTACAGAGGGATGTATAACACATGTGCACAAATGGACATTCTGAAGTGTCTGATTTTTGTTCATTTTAAAAGAAGAGTTGGTAGTGGCTTGTTTATTTCCATTATTAAACTGCCATCATCCATTTGAAAAGTAAGTACCACAGAATGAGTGACTTTGTGGCACCCATAGAGGCAGCACAGGTGAGAAAGTTAGTGATATGAAGTAAATGCTTCAAAAATAAAACTAGAGTCAACTTGACATCTTGCCATATGTGTTACAAGGAAGCAGTGTTTTGTCTCTGAGTACTGGTATTATGCATGGTCAGATAGGGCAGATGTTTTCGCCTCAGCATCAGAGGTGGCAGGGCGCCAGATTTGCCCACGGTGGGTATGGAACCTGTGTTGCAGGCAGACCTCCCAGCACAGGCTCCTGTGTTTCTGTCTTGGCACAACAGGTCACAATGCAACCCCATTTCAAGTTTAAACACTTGAAATGTGATTCGCTGGTACTTTGCTAGTTTTTCAGGTTTGTGAGGTTCATTTTGGGGGAGTAGACAGTCTAGAGCAGGCGACCCCTCAGAGGGGGTCACATGTCAGTTCATATGTATCCGTCTAAATTAGGGAAAGTAGCCTGAAGTTAAATCCTAACATGGCTGTTTCAGTATTTACTTCATGTCATATGGAAATAACAGCACTAATACCATTTCTAAAATATTCGGCATTCACATGTGAAATTATTATATTGCATATACTAAAACTTATAGACTTATAAAAAGCTAGTAGATGTATAGTAGACCTTAATATAGGGCTGGTGCTTAGGTAGCCAGAATAGGCTTGCCTTCTTCACCTTCCTGAGAGCTGGCACTGTGGTCCTCTCCTGGGGGAGGGTCTTCTGAACCACTCTATGGCCTTAGCTCTGGTTCCTAACTGAGGGAGTGTTGGGTTTATTTTCAGCAGACCCACTCAACTGAGGGCATGGTGACCCTGCCCGAAATTTAACTCCTCTCCTTCTCCAGAACAGAGATCAGCCTCCTTCCAAATCTGGGCTCTGTCAGGGAGTGGGGAGGGGTCAGGCAAGAAGTGAAGGGAGGGAATAAGAGCTGCAGAAGCAGGGGCTTGTGGTGGGCTTGCAGGGTGAGGGTGGTACAGAGTCAGAGAACTGAAGTGGGACTAGAGAGACAAGAAATACTGACAAAGCTGTTGATTGATGAACCTGAGAGGGGGCAAAGGTAGGTTTACATTTGTATGGAAAATAATAAATAATATAACAATTATGAACTGTGTTTCATGTACTCATAACTGTAAACCTATTGTTGTCCCACTAGTTTTTTGCACTAGTATATTGCACTAGTTTTAAAAAATACTAGGTGTACTGGGGTGCTTTAATGCCAACAACTGTTTCTACAGTTGCTACTGTTGCTTCTCCCATAGTCACTTTCACATTTGGAGTGTTCAAAACTTCATCTTGTTTTATGGACAAACACACATTAAAGGCCTTCCTTTTTTTTTTTTTTTTTTTTTTTTTTTAATAAGCAAACATGTTTCTGTTATCAATTGGGGTTACCAGTTGGGACCTCTGTTCTTTTCGTCAACGCAGAAAAGATTTTAATGAAAATGAAAGTAAAGCAAAATGGGGTTTATTGAAGATAACAGGAGCAGGTCAGTCAAGAGAGCGAATGGCCCAGAACTCCTGGGTTAAAAGAGGGATTTTCTGAGTGGAGACTTCCATTTGCATTCAGGAATGGTTGACAGAAACTATATTTCTTCTGGGCCTGTCCTTATCCATAATTCGTACAGAAAAACTCATGGGGGTGTGGGGTCAAAACTGAAATGCAGACTTGATTATAATTAGTCCAGGACCCTAGTAAGGCTGCATTGAGGTCATGTTGGTTTCTGAGCTTGTGCCAGGAGCTGGCTGGCTCTGAACCTTCCTGCTGGCTGGCTGCTGGGCCGCCCATGGACAGGCAGTATGGCTGGACCCCAGGGAAGGCCCCACCCCAACTGCTCAGGTCTGACTTCCTGATTAACACTTAGAATAAAATGATCTTTCTGAGATAAAGATTCTAAAATTCTGAATATTGGCACCAATTTATTTTATTTTACTTTATTTTATTATTATTTTTAAAATATATTTTTTATTGCTTTTTTACAGAGAGGAAGGGAGAGGGATAGAGAGTTAGAAACATGGGTCAGCTGCCTCCTGCACACTCCCTATTGGGTATGTGCCTGCAATCAACGTACATGCCCTCGGCCGGAATCAAACCTGGGACTCTGAGTCCCTAGGCCGACGCTCTATCCACTGAGCCAAACTGGACAGGGCTATTGGCACCAGTTTAAAATCTGCTTCCCCGGATACTTACACTTTTCATAGGTACTTAGAGTAATTTTTTAGGGTGCAGTTTTAGTGTGTGTGTGTGTGTGTGTGTGTGTTTTATTTTAGTGGTTTCAGTTCCTAAATTCAGAGTAATTATATATGTAGGCATGAGAGTGAGTCAGTTGGCCTGAATTATGTATGCATGCTTTCATACCTGTCTCACTGGTACGAATTGTCTCTTCGATTAGTGTTCCTCAGTCTAGGGAAGTGTTCCAAGATTCATTAAGGGACCTGTATCTAAAGGATAAACAGGATGGATTTTAATTAAAATTGCTTTTAAATGATTTAATTGGAATATACACAAACACAAAAGGAAGTAGGTATACACTTCTTACTCATATAGCATTTAAATAAAACCTAATCAAATTTATGACGAATTAAATACAAACAAACTCTAAAATGAATAAAACGTGGGTAGTCTAACTGAAACCACCCCCCCAACTCAGTTGTTGGTGCTTGAGTTCTGAGATGTGTCCCATTCACCCTGGTGTGACTCATCTCTCTGTCTTCCTTTTAGCTGCTATTAAACCTTCATCCACACAGAGAGCCAGGGAGGCTCTGGCACTTTCCTGGGTGCAAATGAATAACTTACCAAGGAAGACTGCTTTTCTTCTTTCTTATTATTCTTGGACAATTAAGAATAACATTGCACCAATGCAATCATTAAAATAAATGTAAATTATATGGTGACACACCAATATAAAGAAGTCATTAAGAATGTGTTTTCATTGATTTTGTTTAGGATATTATTTATAAAAAAAACTACAAAATTTTAAAAATCCATATGGTATTCTCAGATCTCTGAGAATAAATCCATAGTTTTCTGTTTGAGAAACACTTCAGGTCAACCTGATCGATATTCTTGATACTTTTGTTTGTTTCTGTTAAGTTTATGAATAATGTTTGTCATATAACCTAACAAAAATTTCCAGAAGAGATGCCTGCCCCCATTAATAAACTAGCATACTTCTTAGATATGTTTGTGTGTTTAAGTTTAACTGTTACTCCCCTGCTCAAAAGCTTATTAAAATTTTATTTACCTATTGATGGAGTGTCTTCTGTAGGCCAAGCATCGGTTTAAGTGCCAAGTCAGGGACAGCTTTAAATATTTGGTTACTCTTCAGAGTAACAGCGTGTGTGCGTGTGCGTGTGCGTGTGCGTGTGAGCATGTGTGTGTGTGTGTGTGTGTGTGTGTGTGTGTGTGTAAGGAAGAGATGTAACATGCTTACAAATAAATGAAAGTTGCATTAACTTTACCCAGTAAAAGTAACTTCTGATATCAAGGTTTTAAAATTAGATTTATTTTATGAAAGAAAATTCTATTAATGCTGTGAATTATGGAGTTAGTGAAATGGCTGAAATGGTCCTTTAAAAATTTTTAAAGATTGTTTTTAGTTTCTCAGTTTGTGTCCATCAAAACATTTGGTCTGTTCTATTAAAATCCAGTCAGCCAATCAAATGGGGTTAGTTCCATGGTCAAATAGTCAGTTTATATGTTTTGTTATTTGTATTTCACATTTGAAGGGGGCAAAAAGTTCAGGTTTTGCATTTCAAGTAAGAGTCTTTTTATTTTTCTTTACACAGAAGGCTAGACCATCTGTAATACAGGTAAATGATTCTTTTTAAATTTACTTGTATATTTTTCCAGCAGCATTCTCTGTGGATACTACAGTTTTGTCAATAATGTTTCATTTAGGATGCTGTAACACTTTGTTCCTACCCTTTCATCTTTGATGCCCAAGCCAAGACCAAAATGTTACAGACAGATGCTGAACTACAGATGCAGGTATCATATTATAAGATTATTTCCTCTTATTATGTGTTTCTTTCACCCTACACATTCTGTTGAAATTTTTACTAACAGGAGAAAGTATATTTGGGTGCGTTCTATTCTAACTTTTAGCACTATTGGAATTTTTTTTTTTTACATATAAGTGAGTACACATTTACATAGATCAGGGGTTTGCAAGTGTTTTCATAAAGGACCACATAATAAATTAAATTTTTGATCTTTATAGACCGTATTTTCTATCTCAGCTCTGTCACAGAACAAAAGTAATAGACACTATGTGAATGAATAAGCATGGCAGTATTCCAGTAGAACTTCATGTACACTGAAACTTAAAATTTGTATAATTTTCACATGTGGTGAAGTATTCTTCAGATCTTTTTTTCGAATTTAAAAATGTAGAAACCACTATGAGCTCAAAAGCTTTACAAAAACAGTCAGCAGGCTGGATTTGGTCCAGTGGTCCACTGACCCCTGATAGAGATGGATAATTAATTTTCAAGTACACATATTTATTATAAAATATAATTGGTTTTGACATGCCTACCAAGTTGTTATTTGCAAATTAGAAATTCAAATCTACCAGTTTCTACTGTCAGTAGATATCTAACTTCACTCATCTCTCCCTTCATCTCTCAGTCTTTCTGTCTGTTTTCTTCTAACCTTATTTTTTCTTCCTTCCTTCCTTCCTTCCTTCCTTCCTTCCTTCCTTCCTTCCTTCCTTCCTTCCTTCCTTCCTTCCTTCCTTCCTTCCTTCCTTCCTTCCTTCCTTCCTTCCTTCCTTCCTTCCTTCCTTCTACAGTTGAAAGGTTTTCCAGAGAAAATGGACATTTTTTTCAAAGAATAAAAACCATTTAAAAGTGGTTACTAGGTTTCTTGTTCTGCCATTCTGAAAGTCATAGTTTTTACCCATTCTCCATCATGTTTCTTTTATTACAGTATAATTTCAGTCTTATTTAGGCCTAAATCATTTTCCTGGGACTGGGTACGGATTAAACTGTTTCAGTTAACCTTTTTGGGTTCAGATTAGAAAGATACGTGTGTTTTATAAACATAGTAACCTAGACAACTTAACTGGAAGAGTTAAGAGGAAAGTAAAAAAGAACAAATGGAGATGCAGTCAGCATGCTTCCCACCTACTCCAGACAGAAAGGCACAGTTGGCTGCTGCCCCCACTCACAAGTGCACTCAACTGTGTTCTCGATGTGCCGTTCCAGGTGGCGGTCAATGGAGCCAACCTGCAGAATGTCTTCATGCTTCTCACCTTGGAGCCTCTGCTGGCCAGAAGCCCCTTCCTGGTTCTTCACGTTCGCAGGAACAACCTCGTTGGCGATGCCCTGAGAGAGCTGAGCATTCATTCTGACATCGATCTGAAAAAGCCTCTCAAAGTGAGCCCTTCAATGTATTTCTCTAAATACCTTCCTAATTTTTCTTTCAACAGTCCTGAAGTAGCAATGGCCTTACTATTAAAATTATGGACTGTAGCCATTCATTATTTCTTTCGTTTATTTTACAAGAATTTAATCATCTCCTGTCAAGTCACCACATAGCACATATCAGCGTAACATCAGATAAAAATGCCAGTGGATTACTTGAGAGGTTGTAAGGCTTTATTTGTCTGCTGACTTCAGTGTACCTGTTCCAGCTCTACTAAAAACAAGCAAACAACAGCAAAACTAAAAAAGCTTCAGCTAGGTATAAAACGATCAAGCCAGCATGTAGGAAGTCTGTGGATAGCAAGGATTTAAGAGAAAGAAGGTAAAAAGGAGAGTATAGAAAGATGGTGAAATCATCTGGGAAGCTGTTGGCCTATTATTATAGGCACTGTTAGGACCCTAATATTGCTGAATTAAGGAATTGTCTCTCCTCATAGACTGTGCATGTTGGTGTTAGTACTTACTGTATTCCCAGGGCTTAGCATAGTGCTTGGTACATAATTTGTGTTAATAAGTATTTAGAAAATCATTTGAAATTTTAAGTAATTTGTCTTTCCCTTCAGAAGACTTCCCTATCTCTATTAACAATCCTCTTGTAAATTCCCAGTTTTTGAAACACAGTAAGGAAGAAACTCACGGTCCTCATGATATTGTCACCCTTTCCAAAATGTCCGGTGAATAGTATCTGTCCCATCCATTTGCCTGGAAGTTCTAGAACTTCTGGGTTAGATTTTTGATCCATCAGGAGCTTCTTTTTGCCCGCTGTTTCCCATCAGTAGTTCAGATAAGACACTTCTTGCTCTGTAACATGCTTGAGTTGTCTTCTGCTGCCATCTGTCCCCACCTTTACTCTTGTCCTGTTGTAGGCAACCTTGAAGACAACCACAGGATAAGCTTTCTCTCTCTCTCTTTTTTTTTTAAAATATATTTTTATTGATTTTGTACAGAGAGGAAGGGAGAGAGATAGAGAGAAACATCGATGAGAGAGAGTCATCGATCAGCTGCCTCTTACACACCCCCTACTGGGGATATGCCCGCAACCAAGGTACATGCCCTTGACCGGAATCGAACCCGGGACTTCTCAGTCCCCAAGCCGACGCTCTATCCATTGAGCCAAACCAGTCTCGGCGGGGATAAGCTTTCTCAAATGCTGTTTTGGTTCTGTGCCTGGGCCCTTACCTATAAAATGGTGATGATAATAGTAATACTGATGCATAAGACTGTTCTGAGGATTAGGTTCATAGAGTTTAAGTGCTGGCATATAGTAACTCGCAATAACTCTCGCTCACCAGTTTGCTGTAGTTGTTACTATGATGACCATTATGGGTCCAGCATCCCCCATGTGGGCCTGTTTGTAGACCCTCACAGAACTCAGTTCTGTACCTCTTAGAATGCCCTTCTCCTTTCCATATTCAGCTTCTTCTTTTGCTCAGGTTAATCATTGCTTTTCTCTATATGCCAGAACATTTACCTCTCAATGTATTTTACTCTTTGAAAATAAAGCATATTCTATAATGGATTCTTTTATGTTTGCCTTACTTCCCTAAATAGGTGGTAAACTTTCTGTGGACATATGGTGAACTTCTAACCTTTTTTGTATTCCTTGAAGTACCTAGTAAAAATTCTTTCTGTATGTCTGCAAGTGCCTTGTGAATAATCAGCGGATACACCTTGCAGTTTTCATTGCATCATTGTATTCTGTGTTATATCTTCCTTCCTTTGTCCTGACTTTGGAAAGAATTTGCTAAAAAAAAAAAAAAAAAAGGAAAGAAAGGAAAGATTCTTTATGTGTTAATCTGCTTTCATTGTTTTAAGGTAATCTTTGATGGTGAAGAAGCAGTGGATGCTGGTGGTGTCACAAAGGAGTTCTTTCTTTTACTGTTAAAAGAACTTTTGAATCCCATCTATGGAATGTTTACCTACTATCAAGATTCAAAACTCTTGTGGTTTTCAGATACAGTAAGTTAGTGATATTATAGTTAAACAGAAGGATGTAATTAAATGTTTATTTTAGTTGTGAGACCAGTTAAAAAGGGAAGCATGACAAAATAATTTAAAATGTCTAAATAATATATTTAGTTTTTATTTTTTTACACATTGGCCCTATTTCCATTTCTGGTTTTTAGAGAGAGAGGGAGAGTGATAAAGAGAGAGAATCGTCGATGAGAGAGGAACATCATCCATCGGTTGCCTTCTGCACATCCCCCCACTGGGGGTTGAGTCTGTCATGTGGGCATGTGCCCTGACCAGGAATCAAACTGGCTCAACGCTCAGCTGCTGAGCCACACTGGTTGAGCCAAATGTGTCTTATTTTAATAACAGTGATAGTATGTGTATAAATACTAACACACGTAGATACACTCACACACACACACACACACACACAAACACAAACACACTCAAACACACACACACACACACACACACACACACACACACACACACTTTAATTTGAAAATTCAGTAGAAGAACTAAGTTTTAAGGAGCATTTTAATTTCAACCAGGCTGTAATTGAGTTCTTTTTCTACCAGTTTTCTTCCTGGATCTGCACTGTCTTAAAAAGTAGCTATTAGCCACATGTGGCCATTGAAATTTAAATTTTATTTAATTAAAATTAAATAGTACCAGAGATTCATTTTCTCAGCTGGAGTAGCCACATTTCCAGTGGCTACCACATTGGACAGTACAGAATAAACACTTTTCATCGTTGCAAAAAGTACTGTTGCACAGAATTGTTCTAAGTGAGTATAGTGATGCGCTGCATAATGACATTTCTGTCAGTGATGGATCACATATGTGACAGTGGCCCCCTAAGGTTACAATGAAGCTAAAAAATTCCTATTGTATAGTGACATCATAGCATTATAGTGTAGTATAATGCATTGCTTGCATTTGTGGTGATGCTGGGGTAAGCACACCTGTGCTGCAAATCCTATAAAAGTATAGCACATACAATCATGTACAGTGCATATTACTTGGTAACAATAATAAAAGATCATGTTATTGGTTTATGTAGTTTCTGCACTGTACATTTTATCATTATTTTAGAATGTACTCTTTCTACTTATAAAAAAATTTGCAGCAAAAACAGTATGCTGTGTTCCTCAGGCAGCAGATTCATACATCTCATTTACTGTGTTTCTTGATTGCACACTACTTTCTCTTGTGATTGATTTAACCTCAGGTTGTTTTGTATAGTAACTGGCTGTACAGGCTTGTAGCCCAGATGTGTACGAGGCTCTGCCTTCTAGGTTTGAGTAAATGCATGCTGTGGTGTCCGCACAAGGACAGCATCACCTGAGGCATTTCTCAGAATGAATCTCCATCATTAAGTGGCGAAGGATGTATAAGCTGTTCTATCTCCAGATGAGCTGTAAATACTTACCTTTGTTTACATTGTATCTTTTGGGGATAATCAAATTTTTGTCAGGGGAGTTTTCTCTGCTCTAAAAGATAACTAAATATTAAGAAAGCCTTTATTCTTTTATACTGAAAATATTTTACAAATAGATTGTTTTGAGGGCTGGAAACACTGAATTTCTTGTTAACATTTGCATATATTCTGAAAGTGTTTTGTAGAGCACAACTGGTTTCACCTGATTGGCATAACCTGCGGACTAGCCATCTATAACTCCACCGTGGTCGATCTCCACTTCCCACTGGCTCTCTATAAGAAGCTACTGAATGTAAATCCTGGCTTGGAGGACTTAAAGGAGCTTTCACCCACTGAAGGAAGGTACAGAGCTAAAAGACAGACAGATTGGTGTAGGAAACTGCTCTGGCTGCCTCTGGTTGCCTCTGGCAGTGTGGACTAAAGGTTGAAAATACCATAGGTGGCACAAGTGTGAATGTGTGGAACTAACCTGTTTCCCCAAAAATAAGACAGTGTCTTATATTAATTTTTGCTCCCAAAGATGCGCTAGGTCTTATTTTCAGGGGATGTCTTATTTTTCCATGAAGAAGAATACGGTACACATTTATTGTTAAATGAAAATAAAGGAAATTTATTACCTGTATATGATACGGTAGTACGGTAGTTGTCAACACAGACAAACCAGACAAACTGTGAATCCTACAGTATCAAGAATTTACTCATTTATTCAATGACAATCATGTCATCATCTTCTGGAACATCATCATAACAATCCAATGAAATATTATTTGGCAATGAAAAGAAATGAAACACTGATATACTACAATATGGATGAACCCTGAAAACATACTGTATGAAAAAAAGCCAGAACAAAGAACCATAAATTATATGATTCCCTTTATATGAAATATCCAGAATAGGCAAACCTACAGAAATAGAAAGATTAGCATTGTCTCGAAGGAGGAGACTGAATTTCCTGGTGAATTTCTTGTGACTCCATTTCTTTCAGAATCAGTGGACCAAATCTCTCACGTTTAGCATTCTGAGACAGAGCCTAGGGGGGGCCTTATTTTCGGGGGGATGCCTTATATTTCACTCAGAAGGAAATCTGTAAGTAGGTCTTATTTTCGGAGGATGTCTTATTTTCGCGGAAACACGGTATATGGTTGTATGTCCTTTGTCTTAAGGTTTAGTTACACAGCTATTTGCTTACAGTCTATCACTCTATGGGCAAAGGAAAACATTTTTTAAAAACCTGCAGTTCTTCCCCCATGGGTTTCTCTTTCCTATGTGTCTCCTTTACTCTCACACTACTGGTCACCCCATATGTGGGGTTTTTCCTCCACACCACCGAACAGTTCTCCATGACACCAGCTGGGTGTCCTACAGTTTACGTGGGGATAGTGTCAGATCCCACAGGTTAAGGCAGTGGTTCTCAACCTTTCTAATGCCGTGACCCTTTAATGCAGTTCCTCATGTTGTGGTGACCCCCAACCATAACATTATTTTTGTTGCTACTTCACAACTGTAATTTTGCTACTGTTATGAATCATAATGTAAATATCTGTGTTTTCCTATGGTATTAGGTGACCCTGCTAGCGATTTCCCTAACTGCCCTCCCCCGCTGGCCTAATCACCCCCAACTACCCTCCCCTGCTGGTGGTGGCCATCTTGTGGTGGCCATCTTGTGTCCAGATGGAGGCAGCCATCTTTGACCACATGGGGGCAGCTACTTTGTATGTTGGAGTGATGGTCAATTTGTATATCACTCTTTTATTAGTAAGATTATCTCCTGGAGCCTTTAAAAAAGTTTGAGATATAATTCACATGCCATATAATTCACTCAGAGTATACAATCCAGTGACTGTTACCACAATTGTAGAATATTCTCATCACCTAAAAAAAAACACAACTTCTACTTCTTAGTCATCATCATCTCCAGTCTCCTCCTTTGAGACAGTGCTAATCTTTCTATTTCTGTAGGTTTGCCTATTCTGGATATTTCATATAATTTATGGTTCTTTGTTCTGGCTTTTTTTCATACAGTATGTTTTTAGGGTTCATCCATATTGTAGTATATCAGTGTTTCATTTCTTTTCATTGCCAAATAATATTTCATTGTGTGAATATACTAATTATTCAGTTGATGAGACATTATTTCTATTTTTTGGATATTTTGGATAATGCTGCTTTGGACATTCTTGTCCAAGTTTTTAAGTAGATATAAGTTTTTATTTCTCAGGTATATAACTAGGAGTTGAATTGTTGGGTCACAGGGCAGCTCTGTGTTTAGCTCTTTGAGGAACTGCCAGACAGTTTCTAAAGTAGTGGAGCCATGTTTTATGTTCTTTTCTTTCTGGCTGTTAAAACTCCTTTATTCTGAGTTTCTCTGTTAATTTTAGGTAGCGTACAGTTAAGTATATAAAACAACACCATAGCCTTAGCTTTCTGTAAGCAGTGTAATCCTTCTGGCATTATCAGGAAGGAGCACCCCTTCTACAGAGAAAGAGAATCAACTTGGAGATGGAGATGGGAGAAGGCCGTCTCTGAGGTACCCCTCTGAAATGAGATTGTTGTACCACCGGTCCAGGATACCAATAATGAGAATCCATAACCGATGGCAGGGGTGGATTCTCAGTATAGGCCACAGAGAGTGGAAAAGAAACTTTGGGAGGAATATGAAAAAATGACAGAGGAGACCAAGGCAGGGTTAATTTTAGTGACTGAAAGAGAAGGCTGGAGAGCGATAGTGCCGTGATCTATACCAACCTGGCTGGGAATTTTCTTCCTGGCAACTCTTCATGGAACTGCCAGCCTCAGAGCTCACCAAAGAAGAAAGTGTGAATGAGTGTTAGCTACAAGAATGTATTATTCTCTTGAAAACTAGGATATGACCATTGTTGTAAAAATGTATTTTTATGCATATTTGAGTGTGCTTTAGTGGCAGATAGTAGAGTGTCTACCATTCAGAGCCCCTTGCATTAACAAGTAAGACATTGAGATTCCTAATGGATGAGGTGAAATTGCAGCTATTTAAGAAAATTTAAGAAGGATTACTCTGTTAAAGAATGTTGACGAAGGAACCACTCAGCACCATCTCCCCCAGTCTCTACTTCCAAGCAATATCAGGGTTAAAAGAACCTACACAAGTGTCAGATATAATTCATTTGCATTTCTTCATTAATCGAGTAGTATTTGTCAGTAGGAAAAGAGAACAATTAATGTTTTACAGGTCTATTGCCATAATTCTTTCAGGATATGGTAACATGATTTTCTGTTGGTCTGGATTTATGTTTATTCTAGAATCTTCTTTTATAGTTTTTTCTTACAAACAGTAGTCTTCACATGTGATTGAGATAAAAACACTATTGCCTTGTCTGATTTTCCTCTATTGTTTTTTTCTCTATTAATTTTTCTCTATTGTTCTGATTAGGAGTCTTCAAGAACTTTTAGATTACCCTGGGGAAGATATTGAGGAGACTTTCTGCCTCAACTTTACAGTAAGGATCTCCAGCTTACTTATGAGTGTGTCTGTCTCTTTCATCATGCTTATCCATCATAACTAACATTAGATTTTCCTCCAAATCAAATAACAGTTCAGGGAGTTCTCTGTACCAAATTACTTAGTCATAGTATCTTAACTTCAGTAAATGTGTTAAATAAATGAATGAATAATTAAATCTCTGTCCTTAAGAAAATAACTGAAGCATTAATCCTCTTTATTTCAGATATATTTCTTTTCTAGAGTTCATATCATTTCTCTTTTATTGCTTAAAAGAGACCTTTTAAGGTGCCAGTGTTTTCTGACTCAGGTTCTCTCTCCCCCAAGAATTTTCTGTGGTAGAAAGTAGTCACTAAGCTACATTTGTTCCTAAAGCTTCTCTCCCTTACAAGTGGTAAACAAAATTGAAACATTTCTTTCCCCCCTTAAATACAGATTTGTCGGGAAAGCTATGGAGTGATTGAACAGAAGAAGCTGATACCTGAGGGAGACAAAGTGACTGTGTGCAAGGATAACAGGTAAGTTCCACCTGGGATCTCTGCAGACGTTGCTGCTTTCCTTTTCTGCACTTTAAAAAAAAAAATTATTTTATTGATTTTTTACAGAGAGGAAGGGAAAGGGATAGAGAGCTAGAAACATCGATGAGAGAGAAACATCGACCAGCTGCCTCCTGCACACCCCCTACTCGGGATGTGCCCGCAACCAAGGTACATGCCCTTGACCAGAATCGAACCTGGGACCTTTCAGTCCGCAGATGCTCTATCCACTGAGCCAAACCGGTTCCGGCGACTTTTCTGCACTTTTAAGACCAAGATTGAAGTAAAGTTTAATTCCATTTTTTAGAAGAAGGGGAGAGAGCAAAAACTTGCAGATGTTAATGAATTTTTAATAATAGAGGAAACACAGGACCTGAATTTAGGAGAACTTGTTTCAATTCTAGATCTCCATCTTACTAGCTTTGACCTTGAACAAATCATGTGAACTGTTTGATCTTAGTTTCTCATCTGAAAAATAGGGTTATAATAACTGCCCCTCCTATCTCATGGGATGCTGTGAGGCTAAAGTAAGCTAATTGATAGGAAAACATTTTGTAATGAAGGAGCTCTCGGCATCTAGCACAGGGTTCCAGTATCCAGCAGTGCTGGGCATGCACAAAAATGCTTGAAAAATTTGTATTGAATAAATGAATGTTAAGGAGATGCTTACTGTTACTGTTGTTTTATTGCTGAAGAATTTGTATTATAGATTTCAAGTTAATTAATTTCCTCCCTTATAATAATTAATTAAAGTACATAAAATTATTTTTCGGGGTGACTTACCATCTCTGTGTTATCTCTTTCAAGGAGAAAATTCTCAATTTAGTTTGTATTAGATTATGAGTGAGGTCACTGGCAGTCTGCATATTAATTTAGTTTACAAACTCTACTGTGTGCCAGGTATGTTGGTGGGTATAGGAAATAAGTAAATTTTATCTTTGAGAAGTTCAAGATCAGTCAAGAAGGGTCAATGTTAGTGAAAGATTGCAGTAGATTACTGTGCATGTGATCGGGTAACAGGCCATGTGCCACCGAAGCAGGGGGAGAGGCTACAACATTTACATTAAACGTTGAAGAATGTAAGTGGGGGGGAAATATTTTAGGCATAGGGGATAATGTGAGTCAGGACTCAAGTTTGACACATGGTAGAGAATGATGAGAACTTACATAGGGGATGGGATCTTATTGTGTGGATGGAGAGTAGGTGCTGCAATAGGTTAGGAATTTGGACTGGGACATGGTTGGTCAGCTTTAGGAAAATAACTGATCATATTGAAATAGATCACATATAGGGAGACCCATGAAGAGGCTGTTGAGGTAGCTCAGGTAAGGGGTAGTGAGGACCAGAGTGAAGGTATCCGGAGGACAGAGTCAGCTATGTGCTGGTTATGTAATCACCAGGAGCTTGTGTCTGATTATATATGGACTAGAGACCCAGTGCATGAAATTTGTGCAAGGAGGGGAGGGTGTCCAATCTGGGACCCCTTTCACAATCCAGTTCTTCTCAAGTGCACATGGGTCATTCTCAAAGGTAGACCACATGTTAGAACATAAAACAAGTCGCTACAAGTTTAAGAACATAGAAATAATATAAAGTATCTTCTTGGATCACAATAGCATGAAACTAGAAATCGACTTTAGTAAGAACACTCAAAAACATTCCAGCACATGGAGGCTAAATAGCATGTTATCAAACAATGAATGGGTTATCTATGAGATCAAGAAAAAAAAAATGAAAACTTCCTGGAAAGCCGAAACTAGTTTGGCTCAGTGGATAGAGCGTCGGCCTGTGGACTCAAGGGTCCCAGGTTCGATTCCAGTCAAGGGCATGTACCTTGGCAGCTGGTCGATGTTTCTCTCTAATTGATGTTTCTAGCTCTCTATCTCTCTCCCTTCCTCTCTGTAAAAAAAATCAATAAAATATATTTAAAAAAACAAACAAAAAACTTCCTGGAAACAAATGAAAATGAATACACAACAACCCAAAATCTATGGGACACAGCAAAAGCAGTTCTGAGAGAGAAGTTCATAACACTATAGGCCTACTAAAAAAAAACACACACAAAAAAAAAACCAAAAACAACAACAACAACAAAATATCACACTCACAGAAGAAAAATTATTTATTTAAAAAATATATATCATTTCATTGATTTTTTTTTACAGATAGGAAGGGAGAGGGATAGAGAGCTAGAAACATCAATGAGAGAAAAACATCAATCAGCTGCCTCCAGCACGCCTCCTACTAGGGATGTGCCTGCAACCAAGGTAGATGCCCTTGTCCAGGATTGAATCTGGGACCTTTTAGTCTGGCCGATGCTCTATCCACTGAGCCAAACCATTTAGGGCAAGAAAAATTATTAATAAATTATTTATCCTTATACTTGGGGAATAAGAAAAGCCCAGAGTAAGTAGAAGGAAGGAAATAAAGATTAGAGTAGAAATAAATGACATAGAGACTAAAAAAATAATACAAAAGATCAATAAAACCAAGAGCTGGTTCTTCGAAAAGATAAATAAGGTTGATGAACCTTTAGCCAGACTCATCAAGAAACAAAGAGAAGACCCAATTAAATAGAATCAGAAGTGAAAAGGTTGAAGTAACAAGTGACACCAGAAAAATACAAAGGATTGTAAGCAAATACTATAAACAACTATATGCCAACAAGCTGGACAATGTGGATGAAATGGATAAATTCCTAGAAAAATACAGTTTCCCAAAACTGAATCAAGAAGAATCAGAAAATCTAAACAGGCCAATAACTGATGAAATTGAAGTAGTAATAAAAAACCCAGTAAGTAAAAGCCCTGGACTGGATGGCTTCACAAGGGAGTTTTACCAAACATTATCAAAGAATTAACACCCATCTTCTTCAAACAATTCAAAAGAATTCAAGAGGAAGGAACACTTCCATCCTCTTTTTTTTTTTTTTTTCAGTCCGGAGTTGTCCTAATCTCAAAGCCAGATAAAGACACTACGAAGAAAGAGAATTACAGGCCAATATCCCTGATAAACATAAACACTATACTCCTCAATAAAATATTAGCAAATCAGACCCAGCAATATATTAAAAAGATCAGACACCATGACCAAATGGGATTTATTCCAGGGATGCAAGGCTGGTACAATATTCACAAATCAATAAATGTGATACATCACATAAACAGATTGAAAGACAAAAATCACATGATTGTATCAATAGATGCAGAAAAAGCACTTGGCAAATCCAGCACCCATATTTGATAAAAACTCTCTGCAAAGTGGGAATAGAGGGATGGATCATGCCTCAATATATAATATTAATAAAAGCCTTATATAACAGACCATTTTTGTTCCTTCTTCATTTTAGTAAGACTATCAAACACCTTTTGTGTTTAAAAGTTGGTTTTTTTTTGTTTGTTTTTTTTGCCTTTCAGATTGCTTTTTAACGATTAGGTTCCAAGGGTGAAATTGAATTAGGATATATCATGTTTATAGGTATCTTTGCTAAATTAATTTTTCTAACAAATTATATCAGCTTATTCATTATCATTAGTATATGTGAGTACCCATCTCACTAATCCTTAAAAGCTCTGATTATTTTCTAAAAAAAAATTTTTGATATCATTTGTAAAATTTTATATTACTGCAATATAGAAGTTACTTTACCTATTTACACAGCACTGATCCACTTTATTGATATTTACCTCTAAAATATTTTTGTGTGAAAAAAGTGAATTAGATAGAAGTGATGATTATACAACATTGTGAATGTATGAATGCCACTGAATTGTTATTTTAAACAGTTAATTACCTTTTGTGAATTTCTACCTTAATAAGAAAAAAGTGTCCACGTGTGTGAATGAGTCAATGCATCTGTGTACACACTGAATGTAAACTCTCAGGCAGGGAGAGCTGCTGTGCCCCATTAGGCCGTGAGCATCGGCATGCTGCTGTTCTCTGCAGAATTCTCTTAGAGCCCGAGTTAAATGTGTGATGCACACTGCCTTTCTGCCAGTTAGTTTGCGTGTTGTTTACTAATTTCAGCCTATAACAGATTAAAAAAGGTTGATGTATGGTAGTGTTTGACCTGCCTTGAAAGGAGGGTATCCTGCTAGATGCTATCATGCACGCTTTATGGCTTTCTGAGGAACTATCCTATAGGCACTGCAGGAAACAGAGGGTAAAGATCAACCCAGTGAGGAAGTGGTGGAGATTTCTGCCTGTGTAAAGGGGATTATAAACATGCCCGTGTCCTGGGGAAAGTGGCCAGCAGTATTCATGTTTGGTAGCTAGAAAACCCTACAGCTGAAGTCCTGTAAGTGGAAGAAAGATTGCTGCCCAGAGCACGCAGCTGGGAGTCCGAGTGCTCGGCCTCACTGGAGCCTTTCTTCACTTAGTGCTGCCCTCTTAGGACATGTTTTTCTGCCCCAACCAGGTTGCAGTATTTCCCCTTTCTAAAGCAGTCCGCTATGTCCTTTATGCATTTGAGACAAAATGATTTTCATTTGATTCGTATGAACTCTATTATATTAAGGCTATTAAACTCGTTGCCAGCCATATTTATTGCAGATTTTATTTCCAGTTTGTTGTTTGCTTTTGAAAATGTGTTGTTTTCAAGTCTTCATAATTTATTAATTTTTGTGTCATGAAGTCTTTCCCTGTCTAGAAACTGATAAAATACCTAATATACTTTACTCAATTAAAAATTTGTTTGAATTTATATTCTAAGGCAAAACCTGAATTGTATCCATATTGCTAATAGTTTTCTTAGCTGTTCTTACAGGTGAACATTCAGGTAATTATATTAATTTGCAAATCTATTATAGTTTGGGTTTTCATGTGAAGTGTGATAAATTAAAAGTTAATTTGGGAAGAATGGACACTTCTGTGATATTTAATCTTACTATCCTGAGGCATATTCTGATCCTAGCTGGTTTTGCTCAGTGGTTAGAGGACTGAAGTGTCATGCGTTCGATTCTGGTCAAGGCATGTACCTGGG